TAGGCGTAGAGTTGGGTGGGTGAATTGTCGAAATTGTCGATGTCGTCGATGTTGCTGGGCGGCCTGGTTATCGCGAATTTCGGTGCTGATATTCTTAGCGTAGCCCACAAAACCCTCGCTTAATTGCCCCGACTAGGGCTCCCGAATGTGGGTTAGCGCCGTTTTAGCCGAATCTGGGTGTTTTGTTTAAAAGACGAGAAACTTTTTTTCTTCCTCGTCGGTTTCTTGTTTCTGCAGAACATGGATTATGAACGCCAGCAAAAGACTTACTAAATCCTTGTTCTCTGTTGTTATTGGATCCAGCGCATGTGCCGCTGTTATGATGGTGCCATACGGGATAAAATGTTTCTAGAAATGAATAGGAACAACAATACACTGATGAGATGAATGGCTTCTGATAATTAACAATGCAGATGGCTCAATCGCCGTGACTAACTGGTAAGCAAGGATTCCCCTACCCTCTGTTCCTTTTCCCTTCAGCCTCTATAGCCTTAAATGATGCGGTAATTTGCGGTTGAACCGTTTACTGTGAGACTCTCGCCGGAGTTTCAAATGCAGTTTTCGGCTGTGATATTCATTTTCTTACATATTCTGAACCTTCTAATGCTATCTTTTATCGATGCAATTTCGATCTTCAAATCATTTCTTGAAACGATTAGCTAATGTTTTAGCAATAGAAAATTATATAGACAACATAGCAGCTTCGTAACAGGTTCGGAGGACGTGCCGGCGGTCATTTCTCGGCCTCGTTCCCTATGGAGTGGTCAAGGCTTGGGTCAAATATGGTTCGTCCTACGAATGTCTGTCCCTTTGGACCCCGTGGATAGAATACCACATCGCACCATTTAGGCTATATTATCCACCAGGTGTGTATGCACTTATTATTGCTTTTGCTTCCCCTCCCCGAGTCCAGTGATGACACCCTTACGCACTAGATAGTAGTTGATGCCTCAAGGCGATGAAATTTCTCTTTACACCAAGATCGCTGAAGGACTCTCCCTCTACCGCTATTTTGTTTTAGGCATTCAAGGCAAACCGCAGATTATGCTAACTCGTTACAAGATGTCTCTGAAGTAGGTCGTTTTCCCCGCCAGTTGGGCCAGTTAGAGCGATTGTGCTTTCATTAAAGTATACTCGCGAAGGATTAGGCAAGACTTGGGTTGTTTGCTTCAGCCCAACATTCCCCAATCCTGTGTCACACTGGTAGCATGGTTTGTGATATGCGAAATGTACCACACGACAAGCATGGTAGGGATTCTCTATATACGTAATGACCTAGTATATTCTTTGGATCCGAATCAATGCAACGTTTCTACATTCATTGTTCCTTACAAACGGATGTGGCGCTTTTCACTAAGTCCAATAATAAGCACTGTAAAGGGTTAGTGATCAGGTATCTTATAAGGATGATCCTCAGAACGTTCCGTATCACCAATAGAAGCTCGATTAGAATCCATTCTTTCCTGTGTTTTATGGCATGCCTGTAACTAACTACCTATGGGCTGTAGCGCAATATATTTGCGTGCCAAGCCACACTTCCCCATGCAGTAATAATAGTAACAAATGTATCATTTCCAACGTCCAACCTCAGCTCTCAAGAGTGTATGCCGCCTTGTGTCGATAAACAACGAGAACCAGATGCAAAGCGCGTGGAGAAAGCCTAATATGAGATCTCCAGCCTGATCTAGACATATGTAGAATTCCATTTATTCAGCCTGACCCAGGTATTATTTCCTTTTTCTTAATATCCGTGGATGTACAGTAGTACATCTTTTCCACAGCATCATGCAGCTGCGAGCGCCATGGGCCCTGCGCGATATAGAAGATTTCCTATATCTACTCTGCGTTTTCCATATACGTTTTCTCCGGGTTGTTTTTCCTTATCTGCTTTTCCATGGGGTCATTCCCATTCCTGGTTACTTGAGATTCCCCCGGTATATACAGATCAGCCGTCCGGGGACATACATGCCCCGTGAAGCAGAGATGTGGATATGAAGAATGCAGTAATGGAAGAAGAGGGTAGAAGCAAGGCCATTTACTTTCCTTTTAAAGCTGAACAGGAGAATAGAGTATAGAGTATAGATAATCTATACTATAGGCGTCAAGCGTGGTTCTAGTATAAGCTTCTATATGTGATACAGGGTGCCTCGTTCTATCTCCATAGCAGCGGAAATGTCCGCAGTGTTCTCGAGGGCTTTTGTTTGCATCTTTGAAAATATTCATCTTTGTCGCTCTCCTCCTGCTCTCCGATTCCCCTCTTCTTCTCATATACGCACAACAAACAACACATTGGCGTAGATTCTCAGCGGGGGCGGATCCCCACATACACCTTCTTTTCTCCATCCCACCCCCTCTCTATAGACTCCTATTCCTCTTTACCTTCAACGCCTCCTTGCTTTTGCTTATCATTCATTCACTTTTTGACTCTGATATCTCCTTTCGCTTGCTTCTGTCAAATCAACTCAAGTCCCGTCTACCAAGCACTTATAATGGATGACTTCCTACCAGGCTGGGGCGATGGACTAAAGCCCCTCGATGCACTGGGCATCGTCTACGTGATATTCGACATTGTCTGGACATTCCTGGTAATGCTCGGGCTCATCTGGCTGTGGCGCAATAGGTCAATTCCCTCCGTCCGCATGCGCAATGTGCCCCTGGCAATCTGCTCAGTGATCTTTCTGCATGGTTACGGGGGGTTCTACATCCTTGCCTACCCACTCAAGGGGATTCTGAGCTGTAGCCTCGAGTTTTGGCTCATGAGTGGCGTACTTCCAGTGGGAATTGCATTGTTTCAGGCTACCAATGTCCAACTGCTGAGCGTGGCAACTCTGCAACAGCGTTTCCTAAGGGACGATGGCACCTTTGAAGAGCCCACTCCGCGAGAAATCCGCTGTCCGTTCAACAAGTTTAAGTGTTGGTGGACACACTTGTCGTGGGCCAAGAAGACTATGGTTGCGATTGCAATTGGGATGTTTATCGAGGTAATGATTTCAGTGAAACCTCCGGTAGATGTGGAATAAGGAGTTAGCTGGAGGATCTTGGAACTAACTCACCTTAGATTTGTTTGTCTCTATTTGTCTATTTCGGGTCAAGAAAGTTTCATTCATATGGCTTATGGTCTGCGTTTGAGAATCGTCTACGGTGCAGGCAAGGTGCCGAGTGGTAAGTACTGTTTCTTGATACGCTTCACTGTGTTGGTTGTGTTATTTACCTAACTTTTATCGAAAAAAGGCTTCCAACTGTTATCTGGCAGTTTTTTTGGTCGTGGATATTTGCACCCTATGTCTTGTTCAAGATTAGAAATATTAGAGATGTCCACTGCTGGCGTTTACAAACGACCCTTTGCATCGTTGCCGGGTAAGTTGGTGCCTTTCCCTAGAATTTTGGAACCATATTGCTCATTCCGATCTACCAGTTTAATTGCTCTGCCGATGTGGCTTGGGTCTCTATATTCACCAAACCTCGAATACAGTAAAATGAACATATATTGGGCGCCGCCTTTATGGTATGTGACCGCAAATTTCATTTCACCCCTTTCCCCCCCTTTCTCCCCTTCTCAACCAACCGGTATCTTCTCTTCACTCCTTAACACGCTCCTGGCAAACATATATAGGTTCCTCCCTGGAATCATGATGATGGAAATCGCGACGCTGTTCTTTCCTTTCTACGAGGTCGTGTTTTCACAGAAATTACGATCCCGCACTGTTCATGCAATGGGCGCCATCGAAGAGTTCCGAAGATCCAGCTTCCCTTCCAAGAACAACAATCGCGACTATAGCATCGTAGCACTCGAGAAAGTTCTAAAGGGCGATTCGCCTTCCTTCCTCCACTTCGCCGCCACGCACGACTTCTCTGGTGAAAATATCATGTTCCTCAACCACGTTCGAGACTGGAAAGCAGCCTGGGCCCAGTCCCCAGCAAATCTGAAGTTCCAAAAGGCGAACGCAGAGGAGATAGAAAGCTACCGCCGTCATCTTTACAACGTCGCTCTCGAAATCTACGTAACGTACGTCCACCTGTTCGGAGCGCAGTTCCCTATCAACATCGAGTCAGAAATCTACCGTGACCTGAAAACAGTCTTCATGCCTGCCGCGATGACGCTCATGAGACTCCCGAAACGCAGACCCGGCCAACTCGGCGTCCCTGCAACCCCAACCGACATCGAAGCAACCGCAGACATCTTTCCCATCCACCAAGCACCGGAACCGGACTCTGATATAAGCTTGCGGAAGCGCACCCCAGCTCAGGAGTACGAAGATATCTTGTATCGCGGCCACCAGAACATTGTCAACATGGTCCCCCGTCTTCCTCCCGGTACAGTCATCCCGGATACATTTAACGAGCATGTGTATGACGCTGCAGCGGGTTCTGTCAAGGTGCTGATTCTTCGTAACACATGGCCCAAGTATGTTGATCACCAAGCTTCGATTCGGGAGCGGGAGGTTAAGAAGCATATATACGCGCGCTTCGTGGCGTTTTTCAGCCGCCAGAATCCCGTCGACGGCTGAAGGGGTAAGTATTTTCTTTTGGGTGTCTATGAACTTCAAACATGTTCCCGATTAAATGAGGTATCTTACGACGTTTTCTTTTATTCCCCTCCGATCAATGGTTGTTGTTATCGTTTCATGCTGGTTTATTGTTTCATTTGGTGGAATTTTATGGCGTATGTTAGCTGCTTGAAGGCATCAATGAACCGGATAGGCGTTTGTCAGGAAACATATCAAGGTGAATGAAATATGGGGTTGTCAATGATAATGGAATGGACGGCGGAAAGGAGTTAGTGGCTGGAAGGCGCACTTTTGGCTTGATATCTGGCGCCCTATTGATCTACAATGTATGGTGGCCCTGCTTTCTTTATTTTATTTTTTGTTTCTGGTCTTCGCTCTTCCCGCATCATCCTTCATAGAGCTTGGTGACTCCTAAATATCGGGATTGGGCTTTTTGTTATCTCTTTTTTACTTGTCTTGCCCTGTACACTTGTTGCCTAAACTGGAGGGATTCTAGTTGATGAGCATGGATTTGTGGCGGTAACTTTTAGATTTTGTTGCAGCGTCTGTGAACTGTGGGCCCCTAATGAGTACCTTCTCCTGTTCTAAAGAAAGCATATACTTCAGGAATGAGGTTAAAATATCATGTAGTTAGATTTGATTTAGATATCTAATTAATCAACGAGCCGGTGTGATTCGTTTCCTATGTAATTAAAATATGTGTACGACCGAGACTAATATGATCATACTTGGTGGGCTTTCATTGTTTATGTGATTTTGATTTTCGGACCCTAACTTATATACATAATTAAGGGTATGGATACACCTGGGAGCTATTCTTTGAGCGTTTCATGCTGTTTCCAGGGATATAGTTATTAAGTACCGGCGTTGTGAATGGAAGCCGGGATGTTAAAAAATCGACATATATTTTCCCGGGAATAGTTTGCGATATAAATGTTATATATAAGCAAAGGAAAGGAGTCTTCGAGCTTGCGTGGTTTATCCAGCCATCGACCCATCATTAAGATCCAAAGAATAGTCATGACATTGAACGGAAATATGAAATACGCACTTCCACCAAAGACCCGTCCAAAATCAATTCTTTATATTCTATACCTAAAACCTCGCGCATAGAGATCCGTAACCTCCTCCTCCCCTTCCTCCTCATATGAAGTTGAGTGTATTTTACCTTGCGTGCGACTCTCAGTTTCCACCACCACAGACATACGCTCTTTTTCATCACGCGTCGTATTCATCCATTTCAGATAAAACCTGAGGATAAGTGAGATTACCACAACCATTGAGTAGCAAATGAGGATAGCACGGAATGCTGTTGGGTAATGGGGAGCCTCTCTTGATATGAAGAATTGGGGACCGGCGCTGGAGGGGGGTATTTGGTTAGTGGAAAATAGAGGAGAAAGGGATATCGACCAAAGTCGGGAACGGATGCCTAGTCGTGTTTCCTTTTGTCTTTCTCTTGGGGAGGCAAACTTACATATTTCCCGCACAATAAGCTATGAATAAAATAGACGTCATGGTCATCATCTTGGTTGAGCCCTTATAGTTGACTGCTAAAAGAGACATGGCAAGGGGCAGTGCCGCGGGCCCTGGTGACATGAGATAGTATCCAAATAACTTGACGCCTTTGCTGACGCTTGAGTATATAATCGCGCTCCCGGCAACAGGAAACGCAACGATTCCACAGATGAGATACGTTGCCACATTATGGTATTTCCCGGAGAGCCAGCCACTGTTTTTCGGGAAGTATTAGACAACTAACTACAGGGGAGAGTAGGTTCGGAAGAGAGGATAGAAATAAGGGAAGATGGCTAGGCTTACGTTATTAGAACTGTAGAAATGGATATAATAGATGCTGGCGTGATAATTAGAGTGGTTTCTAGGGGGGTGAAAAGGACGAGATTGCCGAAGTTCTGAGTTCCACCATTGGGTATCTGTGACGCCCACGACTAATAGATATGTCTGATTATTCCATTGAGAAGGGCCATCATGTAATTTTGTGGACCACATACCATACCTGAGTCAAGATCGAAATACTAAGAAATAGGTAAGTTTTGGGGTCCATGAGGCATTCAATCACTTGATCCAACTTCCACTCGTGTCGGGTCTTCCCCGTGCCAGCGAAAGCCACTCGCTCCTCCGCATGGACTTTTTCTCTTTGATTCAGAAAACTACAGGATGCAATTGTGTCCGGGAGGAGGAGCAACAAAACAAACCCCCAAAGAAAGGTGCCCACTCCTAGGACCTGAGATTAACGCCATTATTGTAGGGTCAGCGGTTAACTCGCACAACCTGGTACATAGTTCGATATGCCCGACATTGGAACGTACAATGAATAACCAGTGCCACGGCGCAAGTGGCTCCTTAATATGCCCGATGCCATAAGCCAGAAAATTCGATAGCATCCCGCCGAGAGAGTTGCCTAAAAACCATACTCCACATCGCCCAGGGATCTCCTCACGCGTCCACCACATTGCAGTAATGTAGACGAATGCCGGGGAGATTGTTGCCTCTACGACTCCCAGTAGGAACCGGACGGTGATTAGTCCGCCGAAGTTTGTGCATGCAGCGGTTAAGCCGACAATGGCGCCCCAGAAAAACGCATTCACAGATACATACTTGCCCACGGGCAGCTTTTGAATTAGGATGGACGTGGGAAAGGCCCATAATAGATATCCGAAGTAGAAGACGCTGGAGACCCAGCTGTATTGGGACCCGACAAGATGTTAACGCTGTCCGTTAAAGGAGTGAAAACCAGCTTTTGCACAGCCATGCCACGGATGTGGCGGGGATGCTCACAGTGTCTTCCCGCAACCCAAACACTGATGCACTAGACAAAATGGTTTTGTCCATAAAGTTGAAATTGTACGTCACGAACAGCAGCGGGAGGATTCGCCGGTCTATTTTGCGAATAACATCCTCGGCGAGTTGACGATCGAAACCAATATCACCATAATTCCCCGAACTTCCTGGCTCTAAGTTTGAGGAGCAGTCTTCCACTCCGGCGATATGTTAGATCTATCTTCAGTAGCTGCCATATTTGCTGAGAAGAGGCGTGGTTTCAAGGAGCTTCTAGGCATCATTTCGTAGGTAGTAGATTTATCTTGCAACAGAAACCACAGGTCGTGTTGAACGAATACTGCGCCTGTGACACTCTTCGCGTCCAGGTCTAGAACAGGAAAAGGGACAACAACGTAAGTTACTACACCCGTGAGTTGTCCTGGGAATGAAGAGGAGAAAAAATCAAGCCCCCAAGCCCTCTCATCCTCTGTTTCTGCATGTATCCGAAGTGTGAGAGGTTGCATGTCCCGCAACGCGGACTTCCCTAGAGGGAAAAAAGAACATCACGCCAATTTGAGCTCATCTAAGCCGCTGGATCGCGGATGTCTGTGGTATTTAACTGGCGAGACTAGCCAACGAGGCTTGAGTTCCAGCTCGTTGATTGGGCGTCGGGGAGAATATCCAAGAATTTAGCATAATCGAGTCTGTAGATCATTCGCTTTCTGGGCGTTGGACTTCAGCAACCCGTACGGAGTATTGAGGCGGGTTTAAGATGCCCGCCCTTTTTCGGGATCTAACCAAGTTCATGTGCCTGCACGGCTTAAAACCAGTAAGTTGCAAAACAGCAGACGATCAAGATCCAAGGGCCCGCCTGCGTGGAATGAGTATTCATGCAATCGACATAAATATTTGTGTGAAGTTCGCCCTTCGAAAAGGATAAAATTGCTCTCTAATAATTATACCAACAAGTCAACAAGGTGATGAAGAATCAGCACAGGAAATTTAGGGGCGATCTTCCTTACGGCATCCTGGGAGACATCTTTCCTAGTCTAATTATCCGGATGGGAAAATTTATCCACAACAGGAAAACAAATGAGAAATGAGAAAGTAAAGGCAAGGAAATGAATACTCAAAGTCTCAAGACATTGGCAAACGCGCAGGAGGGCTTGCTCTGAATCTATTATATATATATTCTGTTGTTCTTTTGCCCTCCAAGCTATATTTCCAGCTGTTCTTAAGAACCTAGGGAACAAGAAAATCCGCAACATATGTTAAATTACAGAGCATAACAAAGGCATGAGCGAAAGTGGCCGTACCATAAGGCCATTAGAACGAGTCGCAAGGGGGAGGGCCCAACTGAAGCGGAACGATAGGATATCGGGGTGCTCCCAGGAGGTCGTCCTGGCGTATATCAAGGAATACGAATATACACACTCGACGGGAAAAGCAAACACTTCGGTTATAGGTAGAGGAAAAACGAAAGTAAATAGTAGTCCTTGGCCACGTAGTACGTGTATCCGAGAGGTTCTGCGCGCCAAAACCCGCTGGAGTTCTGTTTAGGTCTTTTGTATATAAAGCCCGAAAAAAGCATAAAAATAAAATAAAGACGAAATATCGTCATGGGCTTTCGTCATCATCGGATTTATAGTGGTCGTCGCTGTCATTGTCGAAAAATCCATGGGCTTCAAGCTTGGTACCTCTAATGCCGAAACTTAGCAGGAATCCGATGAACGCTACACCGCCGAAAACACCAAAGGCCATCGCTTCGCCTTTGGGTTTGATTCGGGTTGCGAGGGTGAAGAGGCTTCCGGATAGAAACGGTCCTACAGTCCGCCCTGCAGCGGATAGGGTCTGAGCAAGCCCATTTAGAGAGCCTAATACTTGGTTGTTTGGGACAGAGTTGGTGATCTACAGCATCCGGGGTGTATTATTAGTATTCCATCGCGTACGAAACATCTTGGCGTCTCTGAGAAAGATGGGAAATAGTAATGGGTTGTATTTGATCAAGAGGAAAAAATGAAAACGGCCAGAAGGTTGTAATGACTTACCAGTAGAAGAGCGCTTGTTAAGCCGCCGACGGTGGCTACAGTCTTCACAAGTAGAACTGTGCATAGCTCAATAGCGAGGAGGATGGAGCTCTTAGATACTTTCCCATCTACAACAGCACCATCTTTATACCCGACAAATGGCATCAGGACAAATGAAATAACAAATCCTAACAGACTGGCTCGATATGACCATTTATTGCCCATTTTACCCCGAAGTCTCCCAAATATGCAAATCTGGAACACAATCGTGACGATACCCGCAAACGCGAGCGAGAGTCCGATCTCGCTTGGCTTGAGTTGGCGACCCGTTGGTGGTGGCGCTTGAGCAAAGATGGGGTAAAGAGAGTTGAACGCCACATTCGTCAATGCAAATATCAAGTATGTAATAAGTAAGAGGATAGTATCTCTATTGAAAACTTCATCCCGTTCGAGCCCATTTGAAAGATTTGGTGAACGGAATAGCGGGGTGGTCGGACTCGCGGAGGACGAATAAATATCGGCATCAGTTTCTTCATCTGATACCGACGAATAGCTCTGCCGTGTTGCGCTGCGGCTGTGGTGACGCGGGCGGGATGACCGCAGGTATGTTGGTCTTGACGAGCTTGTGAATTGCCAGAGCCACGTGAACAACTCGCGGACCTTCTTCTCAAGTTTAGGAAGTGTAGTAGAATTTTCAAGACTTTCCTCCAGGAATATATATGCTAAGACGAAGTCTGCCGTTAAGATAGCGGCGGAGACCATGTTGGGAGTGAGATAAGGAAAATTTTTGTTCACTTGGCTGGCCTTTGAAACGAGGAGGCCACCAATTATCGGTCCAGTGATTCCTCCAAGTCCATAAATCACTGGGAGGTATGTAAACGCACGAGACTGGTTCGTCCGGTCTGTAATTTCGCCTAGGCAGGTTGCAACGACACCTTGGTTCCCATTGACGAGTCCCATCAAGGCCTGAACGACAATGGCTTGCCATAGCGTCCTGCAGAACCCAAAGGCTAGGAAACAACCAGCACTAAGAATTGTCCCCAATAAAATTACCGGTTTTCGGCCAATGCGATCTGATGCCCAGCCCCAGAAGAAGTTTGTCACAAACTGCGCAAGTGCAAACGCAGATGCGATTATACCCACATACATCCCTACTTGGCCATGGCTTACATTCGGAAATGAAGCTGCCATGTGCGGAAGGTAGGGGCTTATGGAGTTGAATGCGGTCTGCTCGCAGAGGGCAATAACCGCGAGAATTGTCATTTGTCTGGTAGGGAGCGGGGATTCGGGGATGAGAAGCTCTGCTTCACCATTGGGACTAGATAAATTCGACTCGCTAGACAGTGGCCGCCCTCGGGATTTGGGCGGAGGAGTAGAGAATGTATGGTATATCTGTGCTGACGAGCGCCGGCGGTCCGGTGGCTTCGGAGTGGATGGCATGGCGTGATAGCGCTCAGCGACGCGGAGATGCCAAAGAGTTGACCAGGCTGTAGGGAATTCTTTCTTTTCTCTCGGGCTCCTCTCAATGGCAGTCTCGTCTCTAGATCATCAGACCAGGGCCAGAGTTGAAATCAACGTTCCAGTATTCTTCCACAGCGCGCTCAGATATCCGGAGGGTTCGTGTGGGGGGGGTTGGTTCCCGAGGGTCAATCTGGGCCTGGAGGCACTCCGATTTGCAGTCTCATTTACATGGCCATGGCCTTATCCAAAGCGATTGATCGATTACAGCTTCACAAGCGCGGATAATACCTTCAATGGCGCATGGAACCAACCAACTTGCGATAGATGGCAGAGGTAGGTTCTCGGAGGTTCGGAGACTCGTCATCGGGGTGTGAGGTTTTCCGGATGCGCTAAAATGCTTAGTGAGCGGAGGTCTTATCTGATAAGATCTCCGAACCCAAAGAGGGAAAATGCGACTCCCACTGTGTAAAAGAGGGAATGAACCAGATGGTTATAGGAAAATTCATGACCAGAAGGGAATCTTCAGCTATACGGTAGGTTGCTTGTTGAAATCTTAGAATGTGATATTGAAAAGATGTCAGACAAGCTGCTTCTGCTGCAGTATTAGTCTGAAAAATCATCAACTTGCAGAGTTGTGAATGCCAGAGTCTGAAATAACATGTGTCACTGTTAGAATAGTTATACTTCACTGCGGAATTTAGGAGTTTGAGGTACTACGTGAATAACCTGTTGTTAATTTGACGCGGGACAAAAACGCATTGGAGAATGGAACAAAAATCGCTTGTCTATGGTTGCTACCGGCTGGACTAGAAGACATGAGAGCCGACTTATTGGCGCAATGAGACATGTTTCGGAATTTCGGCCTGCATTTTTCAACTTGGGAGAACGGTGCACAGGAGATACCGATCGTCCTGCTATCGGGAGATAAAAGCTGTCAAGGCGGAAACATCCTCTTTTGACGCTCAGAGGTAGGTAGACTTCGATTTAAGATACAGGAGATAGCTGTTGACGAAACCTAGTTTGGACTAGAAAATGTGGCAAATGCTGCTGTGGCAGCCATGCATTTTAATAAATCATGTAAGCATCGATAAGCAATTTCCGGTGGCGCAATGGGCTGTAAAATAGCTACGTTTTCATTATAGCTGGCTCGTAAGAACCGAAGCCAGTTTAATGGATCTGGATCTCGTTCTCAGCCCTACGGTGGCTTGACCTGTGGGCGAACTTCCGGGAGTGCTAAAAGTTCTTTTTTTATCATGAAAATTTGTTGACAGCGACTCCGAAACTCCGGTTTGGTCTGCTGCCAACGCTGGGGATTATCACCAAATCCCCGCGACTCCTCCAACTCTGCCATTCGACATTTCACAACAATTGAGAGTTGCAGCCAATCAATCATGGATGTCGGTCCAGCATCTCCACCCAGAATTGCAGTGAATCCCCATCTAGGTTATGGGAAACGGACAATGGGCTCCATGTTACTGACATGCTTGCACAACTCCTTGACTACATGCTGCTACCGTTCTTCTGCTACCAAGTTTCACTTATATGAGGGAATTGAGAGCGAATACAATTGCTCAAGAATGCTCTGAGTATCATTTCAATGTCTCTTCATTCCAGCCACCGGTTTGACAGCGAGGCTATCGTGGAAATATGTGACGGTCCCTAATGCATGTTACATGCGCTGATCCCAATTGCTCAGGGCTTCTGCTAGCCCACAGGTAGTGGACTTATAAAGTGCATATGGCTTTCCCCGACTTCAATCGTCCCGTGCTGAAATTTGCTGATGCAGCGGGGAGTGTACCCGGGTCAACGGTTACTGGAATAGGATACAAGTCGGGCTAACCTCATCGCCGATAACTATAGTATATTTGTCAAGGCTTGCCACCCCCAAGTGCACTGACGCTATTTACAATCGGGAAGGGAAGAGGGCTTGGGAGTGGCTTTTCTAACCCTGACGAAAGGCACACTGCCTGGTATCAAAAGTTTACACTGGATGCTGGTTCGGTTGTTATATATTGAGGGCTCTCTGGGTGTTTCGTTCTATATATTCCCTTGATTCGGTTACCGCAAAGGCATAAGAATCAAATGCGATATCTATCTTCTCAGTGTGCATTTTTCACGTTATTCGGTATTACCAATTTGCGTCCAGCTTTATTTGGCCGATATATCCTTTTGGCATCTCGATAAGCTTATACCCTCGAGATGCAGCAAGATAAAAGGGAGCTTATCAATGCTTTGCGCGCTCATCGTATCAATACAATCACCGAATTGCGCACAGCGGAGAGGACTCTCATGCAATATGCCCTTACGGAAGTTACGGAACCACTGTCACAGGCCTGGATATACTATGTCAACTCAAACAACCTCCTCTGCGAGTTGAGAGCCCTTACCAAAAACTATCCCTTTAGTTCCGAATGTCTCGACGACGCCAAAGCCCTAACCGTTAGCGACCCCAAAAGCGCGCGGAGCTGGAACTACTGCTGGCTTGTGCTCTCTAAAATGCTGGAACAGTAAGTCATGTCCACCAGTAACATTTTCCCCTTTCCAAGGAAAGAATTAGGGCTGATGGTTTGGAGAGCGGAAAGGCAATTAATTCCCAAGCACGCTAGGGATATTGCAGCAAATCCAGTGATGTGGGGAGGACGAGCTCCAGCCCTGACGGAGGCCGAGCAGCTTTCAGATGCGTGCACCGCGGAGTGGACCATGGTTGCTCAGCAAATGCTACGGCACTGGGAACGACCCCCTATCAAGTCGGATGAATAAATTACCCGGGAGAACAACGGCTGATAGATCCAAATAGGCGTACCGCATCTAAGCCCTATCTTCAGCCTTTACAGCCCCCAAGATGAAATGTTCTTTTTTTGTATCGATATCCATTGTACACTACTTAGATCGTGTTAGTGTTTATATTGCCCGCGTCTAGAATGGTTTGTCGAGTGCGATAGATTTCATTGAGTTTGCTTGGAACCTCTAAAACCGCTAGCACATATTGAATTCTTTCAATAAATAGTAAAAAATTCTCTCCCTATAGATGCTAATGTCTTAAAGTTACAAACTGAATGCAAGTAACTCTACAAACGCAAGCTATATATATCCTTAATTTTCGGGCACAGGTTGTGCAATATGCCCGATGAGACCAATAAACATCAAAAGCATATTGAATTGCATTTCTTGCCGTTCTTCCTCTCCTAAATTTCTTTGTTCCCCTACTATGACATCATTGCCTCCGGCCTACTGGTGAGAATAGACAAAATAGGGAGTTGCTCTCGTCTACCAACCCGGGGTGTAGTCGATCTATCCATTATGCGTAAAATTGCATTGCTCTTCTGTACTAGACTGCATTGTTGTCCGCAAAATCTGCCGATTTTCTTCACGATCCTCGTTGTAAATTTTCAAACCATACACGTGGAGAAAAAGGAATTCATTTTTGAAATCTATCCGTGCTATATTTTCTTCTCAAGAGGCGGACCACGCGGCATTGATCATGTAATCCACTTCTCCCTTGAGGGAGGCGGGGCCATACAAGGGGCTACATTGTTTCATTGGGAAGAATCGTTTCGTCTTATTGAAGTATGCGATACGGCAACTCAGTGTGTCTTTGATCGAACTTAATGAAGCTGAGTTCGTTTCCTCGCCCCTAATGAGGTTGCGGGCTTCAAACAGTGGATTTCATAGGATATTGCAGATGGGGGAAGGATAATGAAGGGAGTTTTTCAGGTAATGTAGAACGGCTCTCGAACCTGGGCCGGTTTGGTTCGGTGAGCACTTCGTTACGACCAACAATAGGGATAGGATGCTTTAACATTCCATGGGCATCACTTAGCTCTCTTTGAATAGATTCCGAGAACCATGCTCGGTCCCTGGCGACGCCGTACTGGTCATTGGGATGGGGCACCTTGGCCGGTGCATCCTGACAAACATATGTACTGTACGGAGTACATACATTCCATACTTACTTACTGAACATTCGAGACGCTGGAGAACGCCCAGCCTGGACAACACAGCGCTTTTTTGCTTGAGTCGGTCCCATCGTTGCAGTATTGGAATTCATTCATTTGAAAGCCCTGGTAGGCAAGCGCAGGGGGTTAATTTAAGGTTGTGGAGCCTGCCAATAAACTTTAAGGTTAAAATCCAATGACCATCATGGTGCCCCGAATTGGAATATTAAAATCGGATTCATCTAGTAACGAAAACGTGTCTGCAACCTTGATATTGCTTTTTAGTTGTCAAGGGCTCCCTACCAAAGTACGGGCTCAACGTTGATCCCACACGCCTAGATACGGCGCCCTTTTTGCAATTGGGACTGTTACCCTTGTATGTGGCGCCCATGGCCGTTTTAATGGCGTTGTATTGAGAAGTAAGAATATTAGGTTCGACTAGTCAAGAATATGGTATGGAAGAGCTGAGAAAAGTTGACCAGATAATTTATTAAATAGGCACCATGAATTCGATGCTTAATTGATGGAATGTGATTAAAAAATAGTATTCACAAAATACCGAATCGACAGATTTAAAAGGGAAGAATATTGAAATATTTGCCATTAGATGTCGGATGCTCCTGAAAAGACATCGCAAGTAAGATACATAATCGGCAAAAAGTTTACTTCATTAGAAGCCCAACTGCCCAAGGAACGCTCAACCCCCTTAGATCACCATAATGTTGGCCAACGCCTAGGAAAACAATCGGGATTCCAGTGGCATGAACCATACTGACTAGCGTGCCAACCATGTCACCCACCGTATCACATTTGCTGATGATGAATCCATCAAGTCCTCTTCCAGCGCCAAAGGCCTGGTTGAAGTTCCGAGCTTGCATGACACTGTCTGTACCGACAAGAGCTTCGCCCACCATGAAGATCTTATCAGGTTGCGCAAACTTCGCGAACTTCTCTAAAGAAGACATGAGACGCTGGTCGTTGTGTCGACGGCCGGCTGTATCGATGAGGATAACGTCAAAGTTATTCGCTGCGCCGTAGCTTACTGCATCCTTGGCTACGTTTGCTGCATCCTTACCGTAACCCTTTTCATATAGCTCCACATGCCCAACGTTCTCCCGAGCGCTTAATTCTTTTAGGTTGCGGGCATGCACGCGAAGCTGTTCGACTGCACCGGAACGGAACGTGTCGCAAGCCGCGATAAGGACACGGTAGTTGTTCTGTAGCAGGAAGAAGCAGATTTTACTAAGATTAGTGGATTTTCCAACGCCGTTTACCCCGACAATTGAAATGACGTATGGGCGGCGTTGTTTCTGTGTGCTTGAAGGCGATGTGACGGCTTCGATCTCCCGCAAAAGATCCAACGACGATGTGGGCGTGAGGATTTTCCGAAGCGATGACTCCATTGCAGTTCGAAGAGCGGAATCAATACTTTGAAAGTTTCCAGTCTTTTTCCCGGTCAGCTCCTTCTCGACGCCATCACATAGGCGAATAGCCGCTTCGCGGGCAACATTTTTTTTCAATAACTGCTCCTCCATTGCCTTGAGGGGCTTTTCCAGGTCTGCCTTGGTCAAGACTTTGCCGCCAACAATATTTCGGAACAGGCCACTAATAGCGCCCAAACTGGAGCCTACAACACCATTGGTCGGGCTGGCCCTGTCTTTAGCAGCATCTGCATTTTGTAGAATGGAGTGGACTTCATCACCCAAATCCTTCAACACAAATTCGCCCTTTTTAGTCTTTGTTCCCCACGATGCCTGGTCAACTGCCTCTACCGGCGCAGATGGTTCCTCCGATTCGGAACCATTCACGTTGGAAGCGGAATAATCCAGAATTTGGCCATCATCCTCGTCCGCAAAGCCTTCCGCGTCCCATTTGCGCATCTTCTTCGCCGCCGACTTCAAATTCTTTGCTTTCTTAATAGTATCCTCACCCGACGAAATATTTGCATTTGAATTTGCAGCTTTGCGTGCGCGTCGTGAGGTACGACCACCTGGACCAGATTTCGCAGTAAGGATGTGGCTGGGCGTAGCTGGTCTCGACGGGTTTGGAGTCTGGGAAGGCGAACTCTCATTCGAGTTCGCCGCGGCCCGCGCAGCGTGGTGCTGCGCTGTTAAAAGTTAGCATGTCGAAAACCCAACGGTAGCGTTGGAGAAAGCTTACCAAGGAGAAGGCCAGGGACTGGAGGGGGAGGTGGGCCTCCGTTATCTGCATCAACAAGTGTATCCTTCTTATCATCAGCCAACAGAGGGGGCCGACTCTCAACTGCTGTTCCTGCAGCAGATTCTAATTCCTTTACTTGTTGATCGAAGTACTTGTCAAACGGGTACTCGACAATCCTGGAATTTGGCTGCTTGAGCTGCTCCTTATACATCTCCACAAAGATCGTTTTGATATTCTCCAGCAGTTCATCAATCCAGGTCAAATGGAGCAGAGACTGGTAAACGGCCTAGGACCAAATCCATCAAACCCCATATTAGCTGTTGCCCAGAGTAGAATTGAAAAATGTATAGATGCCATGCACACACCACGAATATCAAGCCAAGATCCTTTGCCTGTTTCCACTTCAATGTATATTTTTCCTTCTTGTATCTCGGAGCTACTATACCGGAGCCGGCCTCCTGTTGGAGTCTCTCCTCAATAAACACATCGTTGATCAAGCTATTTATGATCTGGACTCCCACCGGAGCATACGATCTTGACCATAGGACCACACCGGAGGTGGTTATGATTTCGAACGAGTCAAGCATGGTGGCTCCCCGCAAATCGACAGTAAGTAACGAGCGTAAAAGAAATATTCTCTCGAAAACAACAAGCAACAATCAACGGTTGACTCTGCTAATTCTCTTAGTTAGTTATATGCCGGGTTTTCGCTCGGATGAGGAAAGCACAGATTGCGGCAGACCAGAACGCCGCAAGCGCACGGACGGAGATTACGTCAGCGAGAACAGACCACATCAAGCATTTTTGGCGGTTGACGGCAATATACCAGACGGTATATCGACATATCACATATCCTAACATCACCCCTCTCGACAACACTTACACCAAATGCTTGCGTTCCATACTATATCGTACTACACCCAAGCTGCCTCCCTAATCCCGGACCCCTCATTGACAATTCCAACCAACTGTCGGTACCGCTAACTTGTTCGGGATACTGTTGCCTTTCAATGCGAAATCCCACAAAGCTCTCGATCCCACTATGCAACGCACTCCTTTTGCTCCTGCGCCTGCTCAGTCTCCGCCTCTCCATCATCCAGTTCCCCAACATGTGTCTACAGTCCCGATGATGCGGTCACCTCCTCCTCCAGCTCCACAGCATTCCCAGCCGTCTGGTTATGGTAACCCATACCAGCCTGCCCCTGCGCAGGGGGGCAGTGGCACATTTGCACCTGGCTTCGGCGGGTTCATCTCTGATCCCACAGCGCAGATGGGTTTCCAGGTGGGCAAGAGCGCTGTTATGGCAGGGCAGGAATATGTGGAACAAAATGTAGGGTCATTCTACTAAGAGATCATTAAGCTCAGACCTCCGTCCCCACTCCTTTTATATTTTATGCACGTCTTGTCCTAACTACCCAATTTAATAGTTAAACCGCTATGTCTCTATTCCAGCCTTAAAACACTACTTCAACGTTTCGAACTCATATGTACTCAATAAAATCACCCTCGTCCTTTTCCCATGGCGACACAAACCCTGGTCCCGCCAACAAGCACGCTTAAATCCAGTAACGCCGAGTGTAAATGGCCAAATCACACAAGCACAGTACACCTCAATATACCTTCCTCCTCGAGACGATATCAATTCGCCAGATATGTACATTCCCGCTATGGCGTTGTTGACCTACATTATTTTGTCGACAGCTCTGGCAGGTCTGCGGGGCGTATTTCACCCTGAGCTGTTAGGATCTATTACCACGACTGCCCTTGCAGTAGTTATTTTCGAAATCCTCTGTCTGAAGATTGCGATGTACATTCTCAGCATTAGCAATGATTCACAACTCCTGGACCTGGTCGCGTATTCTGGCTATAAATTTGTGGGCATCATTGTTACTCTTGTCTCGTCAGAAGTTCTCACACCAGGACAAGGTACCCGTAGCTGGGTTGGCTGGACCGTATTTACCTATACTTTCCTTGCTAATGCCTTCTTCCTAGTAAGTTTCCATGTTTAGCTTTACTTTTGCTACGTTATCCGTTTCCATGCTCATCCTAACACCCTAAACAGCTCCGATCTCTTAAATACGTTCTTCTACCGGATTCCTCCAGCGACTCCCCGATGCGAGGAGGCACTATGCCCACCGTTGCACGCTCGCAGCGCAATCGACGCACGCAATTCTTATTCATCTACTCGTACATCGTCCAACTTATTTTCATGTGGATCCTCGGTCGAGCAGATCCTGTGGCGTCGGCTGTGGTGTCTAAAGTCGGAGGGACTAACAAGCCGTCTTAAGAATATCCGTGTCTCTAGCCATGCCCTGCTCATGTGCTCTTTGTTAATATCTTATGCATTGAACAGCATAGGACAGCGAGAAAATCGAATATCAAGGGAATCTCTTCTCGCCTCCTCCCAGCGGTTAGCCACGTGCGTTTTTTATATTCTCCTTCCATCTTTGGGAACAATATCTGGTTAATGAGCGCTTTTTTGCCTTTTTCTTCTTGTTATTTATGTCAACTTCATTTTGTGCCCCCATTGTTTGCGTTTAGTGTTCTTTCATACTTGGCTATTCCTACCTACTCTGGGTTTCTCACTATTATGAAATCGTGAGTTTTCTTTGTTGACCTATATACTTTATATATCTTTGTCCAGGCTGGGAGTTTGCGGGTGGCGTTTTTCTCATACAAGAAATCAAAATGCGAATCGCGGTAAACTTAATGATTTGAGGGTTCTTATTTTCTCCTATTCTCCTTTACTTTTCCTTTTTACTTTTTACTTTTTTATTTTTTATTTCTTATCATTGACCAGTATGTAGGCGAAGATATCCAATGGAAAAATTCCTGCTCATCCCCAACATAATTCCAACAGCAAGGTTTCGCACGTTACCTGGGCTAGCTAGGAGTTTTTTGTTAAAAATCACCAAACAACCAAACAGAATCAGATAATGAACATGGGTTACCCATAAAGCACCCTAAGTAAAAAACAAAAATGAACTGAAAATAGGAAGACAGCTTTAAAATTATAGAAATGAAACGCAAAGTATCCTCATGCGCACAAGCTGGCAGCACCCCTGCAATGGCTGCATGGGCAAACGGCTATAACGCGACTTGATTGTGGGTTGTCAGATATGCCAGCTTCGCATAGTCTTCAGATAATCCTCCACCATAGAATAAGAAGTAACAAATAAGTAATATAGATCGATGATTGCAAGAAAACAAAGAAGGGAAGGTTAGGATCAGCCACGCAGCTTCCCAAGTGTCAAACATTCCGACCCATCCCCAAGTCGGTGACCTGTGGACAGGCCATAGATGGCCTCTGGCATCGGACAGGCTCTGCGAACATATACCCCATTATGTCGAAAAGTCAATTGGGTTCCTACCAAATCTCAAGTGGTAGTGATTGTTAACCTCTGCGAGAATGCGTCTAGGTAGATGCAGACAGTATTTAACGGCCCACCTCCGGATATCGGAGTATGGAACTGTGCGAATACGCTCCCGCACCAGATATTCCTCTAGATACTCCACGGCATCATCCAGATCATCAGATGTGTAAATATCCTGGTGAGCATCCAAAAAGTAAACCTAGCAACAGAATATGTAGTTCCATGGCGGAGCGAGGACAGTAAGCCCTCCCCTATGGTAAATCACATGAAACTAGAGGATTGAGTCGTCCGTCAAGCGTTCGCCCAGCCGTTGCGGGAACTGCAAATCTGATAGGACGTTGGAATCACAAGGCCCTGCCTCAGTATGGCTTCGTCAACGGCATCGCTAAGGACGTTAGTCTCTTCCCTTGTGAGCCGGTAGTTGAAAAAGGCTATGTCATCGGAGCAACGCAGGATATCAAGATGAACCATATCCACGACATCTGCACAGGGCTATTATGGTAATATGTGCGCCTTGTTGATAAAGATATTCGGCGACGATGCGAAGGGAGCATAGCAGCATTTCTTTTGAGAAACATAATTCGTCTCGGATATCGCTTGCCGCCAATGAATCGGACGGCCTTGATGAATTCCGCCGCGAAAAGAGCCTGGCGGTTGGCGTGAAAGGACTGTATGGAAGAGGGCGAGGATCCGACGTGGAATAAGGCGGTGGAGGCTGGCTGGATCGGTATGCGGCTGAACGAGACAGCCTCCGCGGCGACAACGTACATCCCATGATCATAATTTAGGAGTCAATTAAACCTTTCTTTCAAGCTGTTCTGGAGCCTTACGTCCCCACGGCATGGCAACTGGGCATTCTAATTTCCGTTAAATATGGACATCTGGGAAGACTCTATACCTGCTGATACATATTTCGATACTCATGTCCCTCCAAAGGAATATTTGGACCTGAACTCACCTGGCCTATTGGTTCCTCCTGAGAGAGCTATTGCAGATCAAAGGAAGCCTAGACTAGTTACATGTCCTTGTCCACATCCATGCTGCATATTTATGGTGTCAGTGCGTTTTGACAAGATTCGGAGAACATTTGATGGCATTTCATTGGACAATCGGAAAGCCCTGCAATTGCTCTCTTTGCTCTATCAGATTTGCTGCTTGGTGGTGGGTTCTAATAGAATTGTGCGTTAAACTTGGGTTGTGAATGTCTCAACCGCTGGAAGGTTTGGAGACGATGATAGGAGAAAGTATTGCAACCTTCCGAACGGCGATGTTCCGTGAAATCCGTTCAGTTCCAATTTGATAACCTGTGGTTTACAGCAAGCAGTGAAAGGACTTGACGCCGCGTCATTGGCGATATATAAAGGGGTGTGTATCTCGGTAAAGTTTTGAAAATAAACAACTTCACCCCAGTAAATTTTCTTTGCAGGAGCCGAGCGGGGAGATCCGTGCTTTAGCAATAATGACATCGTGGATACCAGCAATGGCAACTTTACGTCGATGACACCGATCAAGTCAGTTTGCCGCTGCTTGGATTTCGAAGGGCGAGTTGCACTGACCCAATCACCAGCATGGACCAAAATGTCGCCGTCAGAAATGTCGATCTGGCTATCACAAACGACACAAAACAAACGGCTTTTGGCAGCGAAACGATTAAACCTCTAAGTGCAGTCTGCAGTATGATTTCACTTGTTGATAATAGGTGGCATTAGACACCAGCGGAGAGTAGATCAATATGTGTCAATGAAGAAAGCTCACGCTCCGTCACCAAGAGCGTTGTGCGGGCCTTCAAACCGGAGACTACTGCCTGATATATTTCCCGTGAATGTATGTACGTGCAACTTGGTTCATCTCCATGTCTGCTTCTCCATGGCTGCGTATCCAATTTATATCTCCCATTATCGGGCAATGAGGGTTGAAAGTTGAAATGTTTCCTATAGGCAAGGGACGGTGTGTGGTCAAGAGGTCACTTGATATAAGTCTCCTAATTCATTTCTTGTGGATTTGACAACTCAGGAGGAATTATCAGATCCATTAAGATCCACCAGTTAACATGCGAAGTGTATATATCATGTAGTATGCAGAAAGAAAGTAAATGATAACACCAAATCCAGGTGAAAAGACCGGCGCTCTATTTCAATTCCAAACCAACGTGTCCAGCAACGTTTTAGCTCCATTCCAGGCATAGATATATAAACAAAGCAACCATTTATTCCAGAATGTATGGTTGACTCCTTAACGAACACCCCTCACGCTATTCAAAATGAGAAATTATACCATTCCAGTTTACCTCCCTGAGTATCTTATTGAAACAAAAGCTCTATAACCAAAAAAAAAAAAAAAAAAAAAAAAAAAAAAAAAAAAAAAAAAAATCAACAGCAAAGATATAAACAGAGCAATAGACAAGGACTAAAAAAAAGGCCAAGAAAGAGAAAAGAAGATAGAAGATAGAGAGAGGGAGCAGACGGAAATAGTTACGGAAACCAGTCACAAGGTACTTGTCGCATATCGATCAACAAGTCCATTATCATAATACCACGACAAATTTGCTGCCGGCAACGCATGGGCATAGTGATGCATCTCTGCCGGGGGTGGTAGTGTATGCGATGCCATCTGTGACCAAGCGTATGGGTCCATTACCATTTCTGGGCTGCAGGTGCTTGTGGTAACGGGAGGTCCAGCTAGTATATTACCAAGTTGTTCGCTCGCAAGGACAGCCCCTGTCATCATCCCTGTGCTCGCCGCCGGTACCCAAGTTGTTGCTTGTTGCGCCCTTCGCTGATGTTGTTGTTGCTGTTGATGCTGTTCTTGCTGATGCTGGATAGGGGCTGAGATGTTCGAGTAGATATCGTGCTCAGGGTCGTCGAAAGTAGCATCCCTTTGTAACTTTTGATGCAATGATCTCAGTATTTGCGAACCTTTTGCAGCAATTGGTGAATGATGTGCCATCTCATTCAGAAAATTCAACCCCTCCAAGAATGCAGCATTGGTAGGACCTTCGAGTTCAGAGTTTTCCGTAAAGGTTTGGACACCCTGGCGCGACAAGCGGATGTATGCTCTTCTATTCCTTCGAAGGCCCCTGACACACAGACTAAGGACGACGGATGCTTCCAATGCTACAAGACTGAGCAAAAAATACTTTTTGCAGCCACCAAGTAGCATCTCTGCAAATCGCATGGTTGATTGGATAGTATCCATGGTGCATTCAATGAGTTTCTTTTGAAGTTTGAAAGCTGCCTTTTGCTCTTTCACAGACGATAGGTTGGTGAAGTTTGGTTCATGCTGCATTCCAGTGTAGGGACGATGAACTGTAGTGAGAGTGCCAAGGATTGCTATGCGGAGCCCTACGCGTTTTAAGGGGATACTGGGAAGGATGTTGTCAAACTGTCCATCATAATCTGAGAGGCTATATGGCAGAGGAAGTGTAGCTATGATTTCAGTTTCAATACTTTCTGCAATGGCTGATGCTGAAGCAGGGCTTGGGACCCTAGGCTGTTCTTCTGGTGTTTTCCGAGAACTGAGCATTATCATTAGCCGCATTTGAATAATTCTATTGGTGAACGGGGTGGGGGCGCCAGGCACTGATGGTGCTGCAGGCAGCGCGTCCCGAGGAAGTTTGATGCAACAATATGTCTCAGGGATGAGCGGCCAATGCCCTTGGAGTATTGACATCCATCTACAGATGGAATAATTAGCTTAATATCAGATTAAAGGCTAGAGTTTTATATGAAATTGGGGCACACTGTTCATACCTATCCCACATGTAGATAGTACCGAAAATTCGCTTTCTCATTTCCATTTCAAAGTCTGAAACTTTTATCCTTGGATGCTCCAAGTGTAGCTCTAGAATGTGTGCCTCTTTGATGATATCTGCAAGGACAATCCAGGTTTCTCTGAACTTTGACTCATTTGTGAGATATGACGCGTAGTGGAACATATGTTGTATTGTTGTTAAGGAACTGTATCTTGGCCGAAAGGAATCGAGAATGCTAGCTGCATTTTGGCACCGGGTTTCCAGCTCGTTCAAGCTGCATTGTATTGCCCTTTCATGAGGGTAATTTGGATGAGGGAGAAGCTGTATACTGCACAGGCAAAGCCTGAGGACCAGGATCCCAAACTGAATGTCTTCACTTTCTTGGTAGGCCTGCTGTAGCCACCAAGAAGTGTACCGTTCCATAAAAGTTGGAGGATAAATCATTTCATATATCCAATTTATCTCTTGCAGAAAGTACTGAATAAGGAAGTCAACAACCTTCCTGTCTGGGAACAATTCAAGAACAGCCTCTTGACTACGCCGTGGATCATTAGGCGTGTTGTTTCTGCCAGGAGGGGGATAGAAAAAGCCGTCCAGAGGCCTGCAATAGTTTACTCAGTCAGCCACTTGAAAGGTCAAAGTGCAACATAAGAATAAACTGGACCACATACGGTGTTCCCAAAACCTCCTTGGCTAAACTGCTAGCACTTCCAGCCACGTAGCCCAAACTCTCTAGGATTTCCGAGTCAGTCTGCTCAGCATATTCATCTGCATCTATGTTAGAAAAACTATGTCCAGAGGCCCAAATAGGACGAAACGAACCACTGTTTGACGAACTTGGAGGTGAGATCTCCACAGGACTTCTATTCATGGATGAAGTGCATCTCTTGATAGTATGGTCATAGCGACAAAGATGAGCTCTGGAGCCAGCGCAGTTATTGCAAGGCCAATTTCTGTTGCACTGGGAATTGGTGAGTGCTGTTCAGGCGATTTGCGATATAAAAACTAGTTTGAGTATGCACATACTTTTTGCTTTCGTCGACTGCATTCTGAACACGAGCGTACTAGCCTTCTCCGACTGCCTTTCCGCGCAGGGGTCTCGGGAATCTGGGATCTTCGCATCCTGACGCTCACGGTGCCTGTAGATGTCTTCAGGGAAGCAGCAGGAATCGCCATTTAAATAAAAGAAGTTTGGAAGATATAAGCACATAAGGATAAGACATGCCCCCGTTTCCCATTTTAAATATCATGATCTAGGGCTGCCAAAACAATCTGCAGCGTAAGGGTTTTGCTTAATAGCCCTGTTTCCAACCGGAAGTAGCCAAACTGGTAGCATCACTAAAAATATCGCCCAAGCAGTTAGCTTTTTAGCCTCTAGTTAGCCAGTTGCTTGGCAAATTAGAGCTGGGACCCCTGGACAAACAAGCCCCCTAGTGTTATTTAGAGAGAAACAGCGGTGCGGGCACTTGGGCGATAGTAGTCTTCCGCTGCGCCGAAAGTGTACGGGCGAGGGCGTGTAGGGCTCTTTGAAAGTCAGGGACTAAAGCCAAGTAAGCCCAGTGAGATGCGGGAAAAGCCCTATATTTTTCATTCATATTGATTTGATAAAAGCACGGCGATCTTCGATGTGGAAATCTTTCATGATGAGTTGTATCCAACGGAAAAAAACCGAGTGCGTCCTTGGGAATTATCAGCCACGAAGCCACGATCGGATCCTGCAGGCTTTTCTTAAAATGGGATTCCAGGCTAACTGGAGGCCAAATGTGCACGACGCATCGACCCGACACAACTATGGTTTTGGTTGGACGTTAGATAATGCGGAGAGACCTACGGAGTACCTATTTTCTGGATTACAGTCAGTTAGGAATAAATGTCATTTTGCTCAAGTGTTGAACCAATAGGGGAACCAATGTGTGCGCTTGGGTCTCTTTCCACATCATTTTATAATAATAGCTCAATCAGCGACCGCACGGACGCGAAACATTACGTGGAATAACCATGTTTTCTTCCAAGGGGATAATAAATTCCCCTTTTGAGACCCCGACCACTCAACTGTTTCAAACAATTTGCGCGTTCTAATGTGGCATCAATGATGATGAAGCTGAGGTAAAAGGAATGCTATATGTCAGGAGCATCCGTCCATGCGATCCAAGGCTTAGCTATTATTTGGCAAACGACGATGCGCATCAGATGCTCGAGGCATCGAACAGGCTCTGCTAGATCTCTAGCTGGCACCACTCCCTGGAAAGGTGGGGGAAGATGGCTAGGCTTCTTGAGCTTTGGAACATGGGATCATTCGAGAAGCGTCCTGGACAACCCCACTAGTAACTAGCATCTAGTTTCTCGATAAGGCCTTGATTAATCGGCCGATCATCAAGGTGAGGAGTCTCGGAAACTTGTCACGTAGACGAAAACCCGCAAGGAAAGGCGCCGATCAATGTACTGTACTCCGTACTGTAGTTACATGTACGTTAGTTAAATCCGTCTATCCTATCGGTGAAAGCCGCCTGCCTGTCATGTAACTTCGGTTGATAACAAGAGGTGATTAAATTGTCAGCCCTCAAGGCCCAAGTTCCTGATAGCCAGACAGATAGCTTTCAGGAAGGCACGAAGTCATATGGCGTAGATCAAATAAACTTGTTAACCCCCTCGAGGTAACTAGATCACATCGACGTTGCGTTGCAGGGCCGGACGTACGCAGTTAACGCTTAACTATCGCGTGGGCCAGTGGAATCCAACAAGCGTCTGTCTTACCGAGATGCCTCCCACACAGAGGTAGTTAGTTAGTTATTTAGTAACTTAGTAAGTTGCGTCACCTTCCAGGCAGCATTCATGTTTGTCTTTTTTTTTTTTTTTTTTTTTTTTTTTTTTTTTTTTTTTTTTTCTAGCTTGAAGTAGCGACGAAGCCACATAGTTCTAATAATGAGAGCGGATGTGCTTCGATCCGGTGAAGGCTTAGAATTTGGATTCCAAGGGGAGAAGGAAAAAAAAAACAAAAAAAAAGAAAGGGTTCTTGTAACTAGTTGGAATCTGACCAAACAGCGTCCTGATCTAGCAGCGTTACGGAGTACAAGGGTAACAATATCCTAATAATGATGGGAGTTCACTGGTGCCGATCGCACCGTAAAAACCCCACTTTTTGAAGGCTTCATACCATACGCAGCGTACGGAGTAGTTGTGACAGAACAGTTTTCATTATTCTCTTTGAACGACGATGGGATGGTGTGTCTCCGTGGAGGAGGAGGCCGAGTCCAGGCCAAAATTATATCGGTCGTTGGTCATGGTTTGGGGAGTGAGTTGAGGAAGCCAAAGGGAAACGCCAGTGGTCATCTCCAGGTTAACATACATACTTGGAGGCAAGCTTTGGTTTCCACTCGGGATTTGTTCATTGTTGACAGTAAAAAAGAAATAGAGTTTCTTCGGGACTCCGTATTATTATTATTATTTGCTTCGACCATGCATGAGGCCGAGCGCAACAAGTTATGTGTGAGAAATTGGGGGTTGTGTGGCGGGGGACTCCGACCGATACTGAACACATAACCAGGATTCCCGGGAGGAAAACAATGGCCCAAATGATCAATCACACTACGCAGTACGCAGTACGCTGCGTTATGGAGATATGTTGTGTTACATGCAAGGGTTGACGCGGTCGACTTACTTGCGTAGTTAGGCCAAAGGCTGCCGTCCCGCTGACTATAAAAGAATGAAAATAAGCCCCAAAAAAGAAAACAAAAAGAATAGTTCTAGCGTATTCTTTTGGTGTGAGTCGTTTTAGCCTCTTATTATTATTATTCCAGAGGATTTTTGTTTCCAACCCTACCCTACCTACCACGGAACCCTCCCGCCGAAGATATTCACATAGAACACCCCTGCAAGTCTTCTAGTTCTACAAATCAGCACCACTACTATGCCTATGCGATACTTGTCACGCGTTGAAGCAGTGATGGTATCGTTCCTGGCTTCTGTTCCGCGCCTATGATGATGGCGCGGACTTTTGATGGCTTCCAGAGGTCCAGTAAGGGCCCATATAAACTTCCCCCTCGTTGGAAGCAAGCGGAAAACCTTCACCCCCCCCTCCCCCCCCAGTGTTAAAATAGAGCGTTAGACCAACCTATGAGAACTTTAGGTGAGATGGGGCGTCGACGCTCTTGCAAGATCAGCATCTTAGTGAAAGATCGTCCCTCCCAGCGGTTGCGAAGCCCCATCTCTTGCTTTGTCTCTTCTTCTTGTTGACCAATAAAATAATACGATGAAATAAAATAAGAAAAACGAAAAAGAAAGAAACAAAAGTGTGAAAATGAAAAGAAAGGACAGGAAAGTGAGGTTACTGATCCATTGGTGATTCAAGCGTGGCGTTCAGTCCCCCTTATTCATCATGCTAGAGTCGTCTTTTCCCGCTGGCTGGCTGGAGAGAGAGGGAGACACGAAGAAGGCATCCATGAGTAACGTAGTGGTAACTAGTAGTGGTGATTTACGGTGAGTCGCCCACTTAGCCACCTCGCCGCTTACCTACCGCTGTTTCCAATACGGATTCCATAGATGGCAATGCAAAAGGGGATGGAACTGGGAATCCACAATCCACAATGCGTGGAACACGACTCCTTGAAGCAATCGGAAGCTCGCGCGCGCCTGGCTTTAGGGCAAAATACTGTGTCATATTCTTGAACACGATGCGAGAATGCGATGGAAGCCCCATTCTTCCGTCCTCGATACTGCGTGCAATAATGGTGGCAGATGGGGGCAGATGGTGGCAGATGGTGGCAGATGGTGGGGTTTGGCAGGCCGCCACATTGGCAAACACATTAGTTAGGGCCTGGATGGAAAAGGCGTCAGTGGCAGATTTGCATAGCAGATCATTTCAGTGATCAAAACCGGAAATTCAATTCTGATTTCTGGCCGAATGGTACAATATTCCACAAACGGCTGTGCTTCGGCCCGTTCGTCGATGCAAGTCTCTCCACTAGTTATCCGTGCCGACAGAAGAACAAAATATACCTTTTCCCAAGAGTTGAAACAACAAGTCATGGTAAACTTTGGACGCTGTGAAGGACGCGCGTGGAGGCGCAGTTGAAGCATACATAGCTGGAAGTCTTTTTAAGCCTTGCTTATTGTTGATGGGAGATTTTTGAGGCGCAATCCGATGATCGCCTGCCAAACATGGTTGGAATCAAGTTTTTATTTTTTTTGATTCTCCCAGTTATCGACAAAAGTAAACCTGATATAGGGGACGACTCCGGAGAATTCATTAGCGGGAGAAGGGCTAACGTTGGGACACCAAGCACACAGTGCAGAACCTTGATACTCACCGCCGGATCCATGCGTTGCACAGATAGCATACGTTACCAGTGTTGTAGGCTAATTAATGTATTGGCTTTCTCCCCATCGCGGCGGAGGCCTGGCCCGGCTAACTGATGCGGCTTTGACGACGCTTTTTGGAGGTAGGGTAGGGGGTTGCAAAACAGGGAGGACTTCTGAAATTGACATCACTTGGCTGAAGTTAGGAATACAAGCTTTTTCCAATGAATAATTGAGAATGCACCGCCTAGGCCCGCCAGTGTCACGGAAATTTTCACCCAATTTACCAACAGGTTCAAGTCAATATAGATTGGTACTCGGGACAGGCAGATCCCCCATCCTACCCTTACTACTGTATGATTACACGAATAGAGGCGGATTTAGACGCTGAACCGCGCGCCATTTGGGTATATAAAAATCCTTGCTAACAGAGAAACCAGTGAATGGACATCTATATCTGAGTTGTGATGCATTGAGGGATCATGTCAGGAAAACTACCCTGGTTCCCTGACGCCCGTCCTGTGGTACTTGAATGCTAAATGCCAGAGGGCTGTCTGTCTCCGCCTGGAAGTTCCGCCGGTCGACGTCATTCTGACATTCAGATAACTATCATTTGGTTAGCCCCTCCATACAAACACTGGGAAGATGACGTCGTTCCTAGGCCGAATGTATTACATGCCTCCGCGTCCTCCCTTCAGACAATCATGGAAGGGAATTCTTTATTTCTGTCAAAAAGTTGTCTATTCTAATCCTGAAAAGTACCAGAAACAGTATCTAATCAATCGCCCGCAATGACTGGCAAGGCAACAGAAGGGTTTCGTAAGATGAAGGGGCTTGTGGAAGGCGTGCAGCCAGGCGAGCAAAAGATCGCAGACCTCGCTCGCGATACTGCAGACGTTCATTGGTCTACACCGTTCACGACTGACCATGGCGTCAAAGTGAGCAATACGGACCAGTGGCTCAGGCTTGCATCCGAACATCAAACAGGTCCAAGCCTCTTGGAAGATCAGATTGCTCGTGAGAAGGTCTCAGCTGCCTACCCACCGTGTCTCGCTTTCGTCTAAGTTGTCTGAACAGTATATGCTAACGATCAAGTTAGATCCACCGTTTTGACCATGAAAGGATCCCAGAACGTGTTGTGCACGCTCGAGGAACAGGTGCTTTCGGGCACTTCAAGCTTCTCGAGAGCGCAGCAGATGTTACTTCTGCCGGAGTGTTGACTGACACATCGCGGACTACTCCGGTGTTTGTTCGGTTTTCCACCGTCCAGGGCAGCAAAGGCAGCTACGATACAGTCCGTGATGTCCGAGGTTTCGCAACTAAGTTCTATACGGAAGAAGGCAACTGGGACCTCGTGGGGAATAACATTCCTGTTTTCTTCATTCAAGATGCTATAAAATTCCCGGATATAAGTAAGTATTTAATCCATCATCTCTTCATCACATAATACATAGTATTGATATCAACCTTGATATTAGTCCACGCTGTGAAGCCGGAACCTCATAATGAAATTCCTCAGGGGCAAACCGCCCATAATAACTTCTGGGACTTCATGTATATGCACCCTGAAGCTACCCATATGTTTATGTGGGCTATGTCAGACAGGGCTATTCCGCGATCATTTCGGATGATGCAAGGGTTTGGCGTCAATACCTTTGTTCTAGTGAATAAACAGGGGAAACGGCACTTCGTTAAGTTCCACTGGATGCCAGAGCTTGGGGTTCATTCGCTCATTCCCGACGAATCATTTAAACTCGGTGGCCAAGACCCAGATTTCCACCGTAAAGATCTGATGGAAGCAATTGACAACAAGGTGTACCCGAAATGGAAGTTTGGAATCCAGGTTCTTCCGGAAGAGAAAGAGCATGACTTCGATTTCGATATTCTCGATGCGACTAAGATTTGGCCGGAGAGCCTGGTGCCTGTTCGATATATTGGGGAGATGGAGCTTAACCGCAATGTTGACGAGTTTTTCCCTCAGACAGAGCAGGTTGCTTTCTGTACTAGCCATATCGTTCCTGGAATTGAATTCTCCGACGATCCTCTGCTCCAGGGACGTAACTTCTCCTATTTCGATACTCAAATTTCCCGCCTTGGTATCAACTGGGAAGAGCTCCCTATCAACCGCCCAGTTTGCCCTGTCATGAATCACAACAGAGATGGTGCAATGCGCCACAGGATAACCCAGGGAACCGTGAACTATTGGCCGAACCGCTTCGAGGCCTGCCCACCCACCAAGCCCGAGGATGGAGGTTTCGTCACCTACCCTCAAAAGGTAACACAGAGCATCAAAGCTAGGATGCTTAGTAGCAAGTTCCGTGAGCACATCAATCAAGCGCAATTATTCTACAATTCTCTCTCGGATTACGAAAAACTCCACGTCCAGAATGCCTTCTGCTTTGAGTTGGACCACTGCGACGACCCTATTGTCTATAACAGACTTGTCGAGCGGCTTGCTGAAATCGACCTTCCCCTCGCCCAAGCCGTTGCCGTCAAAGTCGGCGCGCCCACCCCACAAAAAGCCCCACGAGCTAATGAAGGTCAGAAGACAATAAACCTCAGCCAAAAATACATCAACGACCGCCAACTGGCCACTCCCACTATCAAAGGCCGAAAAATCGCTATATTGATCGGAGATGGCTACGACTCTGTCGCCTTTGGCACGGTTAAAGCTGCAATTGCCGCCATGAACGCGTTGCCCGTCGTAATCGGCACGAAGAGGCAAGCCATCTTTGCCGACCATGAGGACAAGGATAGCAGCAAGGGCGTGATTCCGGACCACAACTATATTGGCCAGCGCTCTACGCTCTTCGACGCTACTTTCATCCCCGGTGGCTCGCATATCAAGGAACTGGGCCAGCTGGGCGCTATCCAACACTGGATCGCCGAGCAGTTCGGACACTGCAAGGCTATTGGTGCTACGGGCGAGGCTGTTAATCTTATCGCGCAGGTTCTGAACAACCTGCCTGGGCTGGAGGTATCATCGGCCACTTCAGGGCATCCAGTCGAATGGTACGGTGTTGTCACGTCCAGCAAGCTGCACGAGCCCCACAGCTTGACGGAGGGGATCAAGATGTTCCCCGAGGCGAGGGATTTCTTGGGCAAGTTCTTGTATCAGGTTTCGCAGCATCGGAATTACGAGCGAGAGATGGCAGGGTTAGCGGATAAGGTCCCATTTTGAATGGAAGCGGATCGGTTGAAAGCTGGTGGAATCAGGACTGATAATGAGGAATACTCAGGCCTCGAAAAACAAAAACAGTCACTGGAAAGCGTACCGAATGCAGATTGAAAACAAAATCCTAGGTTTGAAGTTTTGCCTTCCTGTCTTCCCATCTTCCCCAAGTTATTTGATTAGTAGCCATCTGCTACGTTGCTTCTCACACAACTCAACACACGAAAATGGCAAACTAATTCTTGAAAATGTATGATATATGCGTCTTTTTTTCTTCAGAAATAAGTTGCTCTTAATAATTGAACAAAGTTATTTTCGATTCTATTATCGAGACACGTTCCTGCGGTAATTGGTGGCGTCTGTAGCATGCTGATTAGTACGTTTCTGTCTCCGTGAGTGCTGCTACTTAACTATCCCTAACCCCTGGAAGAGACGAGAGCCACTGATTTTAAGAGAAGACCGGGAGGATTTAGAACTGAATAAGACTATTAATTTTCAAACCTATAGACACTTTATGATACGGTGCGCCGTAAGGGAAATATTTGATAGGATGTCTCCCAAAAAAAAAGGCACACCCAACAACATAATCAGAAAGAAATAACAAATGAATGGCATATTGGGTATATGTACGAAAAGGAAAAGAAAGTAAATTAATCATGCGTAGGAGGCAATAGCAGCATCAAGAGATGTTTCGCTAAATTCCAGAAAGGGAATGAAGAGAGGATCGATCCAGCAACCCAGTCAATGAGGAAAGGATATAGTTGAGACAATGTCAGTTCCCGGCAATACAGATGGTGTATATAAAAACATAAGGGAATTGAAGGTTGTATGTAGACAAGAAAATAGAACAGAGATTTTCGCCGTGCATATGTATTGAGACGAACGAAAATACCACCAAAAGCAGGGACGGGGAATAGCAAATAAAGAATGGGATATTATCAAAGCCCCCATCATCCTCTCACGCCCATCTCCACACAGGCCTCCATACATCTGCCTCCGTCTCTCGACTATGCGCCATAGTCTTCCTCCTATACATGCCATTCACGCCAGCACTGTCGTTCCCATCAACGCTTGCGCCACCAGCCGCACCGGAAATACTGCTCATATGGCCCGTGGCCGACGTCTCGCCCGAGGACAAGGCAAGGGGATCCACATGTCCGCCGCCTTGCAGCAGCAAGTTAATCGCCGCCGCAACATCCAACGACTCGCCCGTGTCTGTGCACTTCAAAGCCCATTTGGCAGCGTGCTCGTCGAAACCAAGCTCCTTCACCATCTTGTGCATGGCGATGTCGACTGGATCAAGGACTTGAGGGGCCGATGAGGAGTAGCGGCCGCGGGATATCTTCTCTTGAGCAATAGTCTCGGGGGTGGAGAATGTGCGTTGGTGTTGCTTGGGGATAGATACAGCGTGGAGAAGGGGGAGGGATGATGGTGCTGAAGTGAGTGCCGCGCCAGGTGGGGGCGTCGGTGATTCGAGGGTGACGGTTGGCAGTGGGCGTGCAGAGCTGGGAATGGAGTCGGGTAGTAGTTTTCTTATAATAGAGGCATCGGAGATGGGTGTATTTTGAATGCTAGAGCTAATGGGCTGTATTCCTCGCACTGTTGTATCGATTGGGTGTGGGACGGTTGCTGGTGTGGGTGGAACTGGAGTGCCTGGGTGCTGTTGGCCCTTACTATTACTGGGGTCAAGGTTCTCGATCACAGTAGAGAAATGAGAGATTGGCCTCTCGTCTGTGAAATTTGTAACCGGAGGGGTCATCTCTAGACTGACATACATGTCAGAACCCTGAGACTCCTTTCGTTTTCGGCGAAGCTCCGCAGCAAATCCAGCTTGGCGTCGTCGGCTTGGGTCGCCAGGTGGCGATGACAGAGAGCATGAGGATGATTCTGAGATGTTGCGAGAGTGGCCGCGGTGTCTGGCGATAGGGCTGGGGGAATGTGGCGGTGGTGAGTTGGACTTCGGCGTCCTAGATGATGCGGGAGTGTGTGTGTTTGATAATCTGGATTCGTAGACTTGGGACACTGCTTCTTTCAAGAATAATCTTGGTGCACTGCCATAACTCAACTCGGGCGTCTTCCATTTCGTCCACCCGTTGGCCTTTGCTCTGGAGAAGAGAGTCTCAATTGGTGCTTCGGGGTTGATGCTGGTGAGAGCAAGAATAGCGGACGGCCCAAGCGTGAGAAGATACTGGGTCCAGCTTTCTGTTGGTTATGTGTGAGCACAACTTCATAAAGGCTGCCCGAGATGATTGGAATGTTAGCTGCTTACCTGTCAGGGATTCCTCCTTCGCAACATCACCATCTGCCACCTTTAAGCCATCAAAGACTCCAAAATCTCGAGCCTCCTTACACTTCCCATGGAACATCTGCAAAAGGACGCCAAGACAGGTCCAAATTTCCATCATGTCATAGAGTTCCGTCGCCGACAATCCTCCATGATTGCCCTTGCTAAAGGCAGGCGGCGCGTTGAATAAAACGCTATGCACCCCGGCCGGATATTGTATGACAATGCTGGTGCCACGGTTTTCAGCCTCCGCAAGTCGACCGCCATTGAGCCAGTCGACTTGTGCAGTGACATCATCTTCTCTGCTTTTTCCGCAGCCAAATAACTTACAGAAAGTCCACACTCTCCAGAACGCTTCGTCAACCTCCGCGCAACGAGCGTCGTCTAACCCTGCCAATGCTCTGGCTGTATCGGGTCGTAGAAAGCTCTCGCAGCGAACAAGGATGAGAGATTTCAGAGCGACCATGGTATATAGGTCGCGCGTGTAATGCTGTATGTATAGATTTGGCGTGTATTCCGGCACAGGCATATCAATATCTCCAGCTTCATCACCCTCGGCCTCCCAAGGTGGGCATATCTCGCGCAATTCCCATGCAGCAGGGGACATGCGGAACAAGGTATCTTTTATGAGGGTCAATGAATGGTCTTTGAAAACGGAGTAGAAGGCCTTGTTGATGACCGCGAGATTAAACAAGTCCTCAAGGTTGTCGATCTTCTGCATGATCTCGCATATAACACTCTTTGCTACCTCGTTTGGGATCGGTTCGCAGAGCATGGCTTTTGACCCCGCATGCTCGCAGGCGGGGGCTGACTGGCAGTCATCGAGCTTGAAAACGAGTGGAGGTGCTTCTACTGGATTATCACTATCGTTGTTACTGTAAGAATAACCCTCCCGAGTTGGTTCTGGCTGCGCTGGATCAAGCCTATCGAGACCCGCCATGACGTGCTGTTTGGGGCTGCTGTGATCGTCGAGGTTCGGGTGGTTTGTTTGGTTGGTTGGCGACTCCACCACGGCGCTGAGGTTCACAGGGCCCCGAATCGACTTGGCGCTGAGCTGCGTTCGTAGGCGGGGCAGACGCATGCGAAGGTTACGCTCGACACTCTCGGCCCGTGGCTTCGTGAACATTGCCATGCGGTTTATGTTTTCTGCGAGCTTCAGATCGTCTCTGCCATTGTTACTGGGAGCCGTGCTATTCTTTGTACTACTACCATTTGCACAAACTTGCAATGACACTTCTACTTGTGCCTGCCACGATTGTCGCCTGTTATCATCTTCTACTGACTCGCTTATGGTCGGTGAAAGTTTGATCTTCCCTTTGCCATTCCAACTCTTCTTGGGCGAAGATCGCTTGGTCGGAGACACAACTGAATACGAACCAGACCTTCTCCAAGACGAACGTCGTTTCAAAGGCTTAGGTGGGGTATCTGCAGGAAGCTCAGAAGAGGAGCATTGATTATGCCCTATCTTCAGCCAACCGGTTCTATTTTGCATCGGCATGGATAGAATAGAAAGTTGTTCTTCTAGCTCAAGGGTAGCCTTGTGCAGAGACGGAGAGTTGGAGAGTGTGTCTGACCCAGAAGCTTGCCCCGATTTCGATTTAGCACATTTATTAGGCGATACATGATGAAGCCCTGAACGACGGAATGCCTCGTCCAGAATATCGAGGTCAGATGGTCGTGGGTCTCGCGGGAGGAAGAGTGGTTTGCTTGTCGGTTGGATTAACCGACCGCAGTGGGAAACGGAGCCCATGGGCTCTGGTCCGGAGGTGCGGCGGATGGATAGCGGGGGGATTTTTATCACTGGTTCGGGAGGAAGAGGTTTATTTCTTTGCTGTTTAGGGCTAAACTTGTATTTAAAGGTAGGAATCCGCCTCAAATCAGAATCGTCGTCGTCGAACACGCCAGCAGTAACGGGAGATATTAACGAATATCCCTTGCTGCTTCTGGAACATCCCTCTGTTGATGGTGCGACGGGGATTTGAGGAAATTCCTCAGAGTATATACTAGATCTCGAGGAGCTTGGGCTATTCGGTGCAGAGACACTCCTACCGAACTCGGACGATGTGGCTGAACCACCACTTTTCCCAGGTTGGTCCAAAAGCGGGTCTGTTTCGACTTGAATGATCTTGTCAAAGGAAGGAGGAACAAAAGCTCGCTGAGGCTGGGGCATATCGATTGACAAGGGTGAAACTATGGTCATGGGCTCTATGGACCTCGAATCTCCAGAGGAGGCTGGGATGGCTTTTCTCTGAACAACCGAACCCACGATCGGCGATACCTTCTCAGTGGTGTCTCCCGCGGATATGCTCTGTAGCGTGCCAATACTGGAAACTTTGTAGAATGGCCGATTCCGTCCAGGATGCATGGGTGGTGGGCTAATATCGCAAACCGGTGCCAGGCTGCGATCTAAAGTTTGGCTTTGGTGTGCTGCTATCGGGTATGAACCCCCTGTTGGAGGCATAGGTGAGGATTTTGGTTTAGTATACATTGAGTCCAATGCCTTTGTATGCTTTTCGGGGCTGGGTGTTCGTGGTGCAATCTTCTCAGGAAGATGTACGCTCTCCAATGCATGTACATCAGAGGATTGAGGTGAATCCCGTATCTTAATCCAAGCGAGGGTTGAATTCAAGGGTGAACGATGGGATAAAGGTTGTGCGCTGGCCTCCAATCTGCTATCATTTTTAAGCTCTAAGCTAGTAAGCATAAGAAATGAGTCAGTGGATTTACTGCAATGTAAATCTACTGATTCGCTCTCCCTGTGCTTCATAGTGCTATCTTTCGATTTCTTTGACATGGGAGACCAGTCCGTCGAGCGAGCAGCACGCATAGGCCATCTAACTTGAAGCGCTCCCATTGAATAGCGAGACTTCTTTTCCTTGTGCTTCGTCTCTGGTAATGGGGCGACATTATTCGTCGGGCGCGGATTGAAAGCCATAATCATCACCAGTGAGCGAGATTGAGTATCCTGGCTGAACTCATGTTAGCCTCGATTTTGGGTTTTTGAGAATAAACGAAGCATATCGACTGTGGAGAAAGGAGAAGGCTGGTGAAATTGGAGACAAAGGAGGGCGAAAAGAAAAAGGCCTCATATGAAGCCTTTGCCCAAGCATTGACCTACCCCTTGCGAACGTATCTTTATTGCTAAAGAAAGGCAAAAATATGGAGCAATTGGTCCTTTAGGATTGAGGAGAAAAACTATGGCGTCCACAATCGCAATCGGAGTATTCCACAATCAAGTGGTATTATACACCAGCAATTCACCCTCCGAAAGGAAGTATAAATTCCAAATGTACAAGAATAATAATAAACATAAACCCTTGTCGATATCCTTTCTTCGTTCCGTTCCTTTAGCTCCTCCTCATTCAAACTCCAACAGTCGTACAGCAAGCAGTGATGTCAGGTAGAGTATTGAACAGCAATATATAACAAGCTGCCTTATATGAGTCAAAAGTATAAGAGTACCAAGAAGCAACCTTAAAGAGAAGGGAAGAGATTCGATAAGAGACTGTTGCACGGCAGGGCGTGTGAATATGTATGCGAGGGATGGTCTGGTCGCATATAGGCGCAGCACCCCGACATAGATATACGACCCAAAGGCAGTTAACTAACTGGCCATTCCTCTGCCGTCGCAAAAATACCCGAAGGGGGAAATAAATTACTGTACCTTATCCGCCCCATAAGATCTATTAGCAGGCACGGCAGCAGGTGTATTTCCAAGTGTATTTCTCCTCGCTGATAACATATGCGAATCACTCCCCCACATTTTGGCTTCAAAATGCCCGAGACGACAACAATGTGACCACATGGATACTCTCAGATCCAGGGGCATGAGGCATATTCAGTGATGGAGCCAACCCCATCTGCATCTGCCCTGCGCCATCAGCTGCAGGACGGTTCAGTCGCAGCAGCCAATAATGGCTCCGCAGCACAGATTTCTGGAGGCAGGGCAGGATTGAGTCCAAAGTGCCGGGGTATTTTTTAATCTTTAGGCTGCCGGCACCAACGAGTGGCGTTGCCCGTAACTATCGTTCAAGCCGGGAGAACCCAAACAGGGAGTTGGTGTGTTGGAGCCATCCAGATGTTGGGGTTGGGAATTCAGGCCCCCAGCCCCCGCAAGCCCCCGTCCAAACGGAGAGGACCTGTACTCCGTAGTCTGTACTTACTACAGCGTAGTTATGTGTAACTAGTTATGCATGTAACTAACTTACGGTAGCTAAACCCTTTAGCGTTTGGAATGGTTCGTTAAAATACCTCATTTCATCTCTATACCCCGCGAATAAAGACTTCGGGTTGAGCGCGAAAAATGGATCCCATGGAAGTAGCAATGAGAGCCTGGCCAGATTGTAGAAATGACTCTGAACCCACTGTAGTTGACAATAATGACATCAAAATAAAGAGATTCCTAAGATACGAGAATACGTGGGTGGGTGAGTACTCCGTCCGTACTGGGAAACTTCTCAAAGGGTCCAAGGTTGGGGGCTGAGTAGCTTGGTAAGGAAAAGCCGGGAGCTTGCTTTTGTCAAAACCCAACAACTACTTTTTCTCAATTCTATTTTCAGGCATTTGCCATTTCTCTCGGCTTTGATGGCGTTATATTTGAGTGATTTCCCCTCTATATCACCACTAGTGCTGCTGCCTTTGGATTTTATATTTCAATACCGTTCCTTTGTAGACAGTGTCCGGCATATAGCCTAGATATCTGGTCGGTATTTTCCCTTCGCCGGATAGGCGAACATCCCAGTTCCCCAACTACTATAGGTGTAGTTGGTGTATCTATATTAATATGGCAGCTATGTACTGTAGCAGTTGGCTTCCATTAATGTTCATGAGCTTGGATGTCAGTAAGAAGATGGCCAAACCAATGAACTGTGCTGTGCCTCTGCTTTATTCAGTGATGTTTTCTTGTCTTGTCTGAAAGCCGCGCGAAGTGTTGCGGCAATTCTTTGTTTCTCATCGGAGTGTAAACAATAAATAATCCTCGAAAAAGGGCATGATAAATAGTTAACCTAACACGTTGGCCCGTAGCAAGTGGCAGAGTTGCTTTTACCAACAACCAACCAGTCTTGGGATTTCTGACCCCCTTTGCACACCAACTCTTTCTCAGCGTCTAATCAGCCTTTTGTTTCCCTGTTTGTCAATGAGAATGTGGAGAAATATCCGCGGGGACGGCATTCTTTGTTTGCGACTTCGAGTTGGTTTTTTAGCATTTGGTGGGGGCGGAAAATCATTCTTAATTTTTGAGGGTGTTTACAGATACCGTCGGCGATGATGAGATTCCAGCTTTGCAGAGCCAACAAGGCCCTAACTAACCAAATAGGCTCTGACCCTAGCGGCGATTGGCCTTGATGGTATGGTATGAATCGACTTCATAGAGCCCGAAGGTTAAAAATACGAGACACCAGCATACCATTCTCTCTATTCATAATATAGCCCTTTTCGTAACTTTGTGGAACATAAATCTCGACCTCAAGGAAGCTTTTCACCAGCTGTTGGTATCCTTGATGGTCTCCAGAATGAGAAGCAAAACAGAAACGAGCACAAGCAACTCATCCGTCAAATCGCGTGTTTGACACCGGGCCACAAGAAACACAAACGAAGAGGCGAAGTATAATTCCTCACGCGTCTCGACTATCCAGTCAAATTTCGAAACACGGACTTTGCAAAATCCTTGAAGAGTTGTAGGTATATTTTCCGTTTTCTTCGTGGTGTTGGCACAGGATGTGTTCTTGGATCTCGGTTTCAGCGATTTAAGCTCATAGAAACGCACTGGCTGATCTACTGATCGGTCTGAAGACTCGTATTTTGTGCTGGGCATGGCCTGGCTGGTCAATGGTCATAAAGCCCAGAAGCAACTTTCTTCGTATCTGTCAGCTGTTTCAGCTCATGAAACACGACATGATGTTGTGTCTTGATTCGATGCCCACGTTCCATTCCGTTCTGAATTTCTCAGCATGGGAAGAAAGTAAGAAACAAACGTGGACGGGGTTTTAATTAGTCACCAGGGTTAAATCGAATAACGCCTTCTAGACACATTTAAAGGTAGATAGATGATCTATATGGAGATATGTGTACACTGCACATTTATATACTCATAGACATGTTTTCTACCAACAGCCACAAAATAACTGTAAGGACTTTCAACTGCCTCCCATTGTCGTTCACAACATTGGATATTCCTCCAAGAGGACCCGGACCAAACTAGAACCCCACGCCCCCTTTACCAATCTTGTATCTATCTCAAACGCAGCTCGTATATTTCCCTTGCTGATACACTTGGGAAAGTCCACAAAGGGTGATTTAACAGCAATCTAAGGTGGCTTGGATGATGCGACGCGGGAGCGAACAGGTCACTTAACGAAAAAGCATGGAATGCGTTGTGTCCCTACGATCGAAACGCGAGAAGAGGACTTCGGCTTTTCCCGTTCAAGCTGAGGAGGCATAATCTTCAAGACGGAAGCATGGACAGTGCCAGCTGAATGAGGAGCGGGACGATACGACTTGTCACCATCATGATTCGGGCTCTGCAGTCTATGTAATAATAATATCCGGGTTTACTGCGGGGGATAGTGGGACAAGATGATTTCCCCATCTGCAATATTAATGGGTATGTATGTACATGTATGTACTAAGTTACCTCTTCCAATAATATATTAATACATCAAGTCATTTCTCGAAATCGGTTTGACCTACAGTCACATGATGATTGTTTCCCGGCGCCACTGCCAAGAACTTAGTGTGGTTATATTATTGGGGCAAATCACTTCTAATGACAACGGGCGGGCCGTAACTTTCCCATTGTAACATGTAACTTATTGAAAGACGTGTCTATTTGTAGTTAGTAAACATATTCTATCACCAAGCGAGCCACTTTGTACAACCACCCTGCCAAAATTTATATGTAGATTGACTTACCATGGGTTTTATGTTTGTTTTAAAAGTCACTCTATAATATACAAATTTTGGTAGGGTGCAACAAAGTAGCTCGCTTATTTGGCACGACTCGCTTAGAGAACCACGTTATGCCTCTTTATCTTCTGCATAAGGCCAATCAGGCGTGCATCAGAGGATCTCCATGGAAGATTAGACATCAATAGACATATAGAATGTTTCTTATTATCTGATGTGACAAAATAAGCCAACAACTGAACAGTTGTGTCGGCTGAATTTCTGTTCCTCGCCTGCAGCTGTTGTTTGCCGGCAAACAACAGTTGCTGAGACAGTGTAGGGTGTGAGCCTTGACAAAACATTGCTAACCACAGGAGTCCCATACCACTCAAAAAAGATGAGGTCCGACTCTTTCAGCCTTAATAACGACGATAGTGCTTACCCATTAAACTTCCGCTACTACAATTCAGTTATTATTGTAGAGGGGCAGGCGTATGATGAGGATCCACCAACCTGTATTCACTATTGGATTGAATAATGGAAAGTTACCCTCATCAATAGGACAGTGGACAAAGATACAGAACAAGATCTGGTTCTTGCCCCTGGATTCTATTGGAGGCTCTTTTTTCACCTGAAGTTGAAGGAGTTATTGTGCTGCAAATACCCACACAGAAGCATTGTATCAGATGATACATCTGTTGTGGTATCAGTTGCTCAGCTTCAAGATAAACTCACTCAACAGTTTGATCAGACGAGTATTGACTGGCCTGCTATTGAGAAACAGCTTTTTGAATGGGGTGATCACTTTCTTGCTGGCAAGAGAATGAAACTCATGATACTGTTCAACTACATAGAAGACAGTCAAGGTTCAACAGCCAGTTGCAGAACAACTAACAAATGAGATACTTTCATCTGCTACTCAGGGCATGCTTCAAAATCTTGACTGAGAGATCACCACGGAGGAGGAATTGACTGAAGAACCTGCTGCCTGGAAACATGTCTATGCGTTAATGCGCTGTCCTGGATTCCTGTGAATTAGAGCCACATTGTTGGCAGGACCCTTACGGGAAGAAACACTATAAACTCTATAGAGATGAACTTTTGAGCCTGGTCAGGTATGTGCAGAGTGGGAAGAAATTAGATTCTCATGAGGATGTGCCTGGCATGATCCGCGAACAAATCTATAGGGCAGAGAGGTGACAGCTTGAAGGACAAAAGAGTCATAATCACCTTACATCTGAGTCAACCTACCCACCGATTACCATCACAAATGTCCTCCCAACACAGACCCCGCAACCGGCTCTGTCATCATCACCACCGGCCTCGGAAGGCACGCACGTCGTCTATTCAGCCAAGCCTCCGCGTCTTAATATAACAGGTCTTCGTGATGCCAATGTTCAAGCATACTGTGACTGGCAACAATCGCAGGTTGGGAATGTATCGTGGAAGGATGAGTTTCGAAAAGCGTGTGATGTGGCTCTAGACGATGGGTTAGATCTGGACCAGATTGACGAACTGGGTGACCCTGAATACTTCAAGAATCGGGGTGTGAAATGGGGTATTGCCCGTAGATTTGTTGGGGATATGAGATACTGGGCGGACAACCATAAGTGTAATGTTGAGGGGTGAGAAGACATTTATTGCTAGCACATGCCATAGACTTTGTTTGGTTACCTGACTATCTATCTGCTTTCGTACTTATGTGATCTATGCAGCCAAGGCATGCGGTTTATATTCTTCAATAGTGACACCTGCATGCCGAAAGGGACCTTCGGCACTCCGCACCCTTGAGCCAACAACACTGACACACCACTCAAGAAAAGCATCAAAACCTTGACCTGATGTGAGGATAAGCAGAATATGCTCGGGCAGCAGAAACAGCCCATTGTACTCATTATCATCGCGCGGGAAAATATTTTCAGTCGGTGTCGTCAAGGGATTCAATCCTGCAAAATTCGAAAAGTCCTGAAGTCTCGAATCTGAGATAATGTCTACAAATTGTAGGCTCGTATCTTTGTGCGAATGTCCCTGATATCAAATGGTAACCCGGTTGTCAGGATAAGTAGAAAGCCTTCGTCGCCTATCGAGATGTTCCGGACTTTACACTGAGACTGACAGATGTAATGTACATGTATGTACATGTCAGTAATTATTTGCAATCCTTGATTCTTGCCACTGAAAATCTCACCATCGTGATTTTTCAAGCTTTGATAGTGGAAGATTTGTTGTCCTCAGTGATGGGGCGGGAAACCGATAATCATGTGACTCTAGGTCAAACCGATTTCGAGTAGTTAACCAACTGTTTTTAATACCAAAACTATACAAACAACTTTGTTCCTCAACTTGGAGAGACGTTCATTGCCATTTCTGCGGCAGACACCGCCCCACTAGGCCTTCTGATGGCCTCATGCAGCCTGCAAGCTACCAGCGATCCCTTTCATTCCTCATCATCTGATTTGTCCATGCATTTAACTAAACTAATCCCTCCATTCCAACCATGAAGTGGTGGACAGACGCTTAAACCGTGCATCTTGGCAGCGAAAGGCCTTGGCCATGTGGCTAGCACATGAGATCACGTTAGTGTTTCGGTGCTAAGTGGGCTGAGGGATTTATAAATAGAAACCGTTGCACAACCCGCAGGCAGGGCTTGCATAGGAAATTCTGTTTTCTTGATAGGATAGGGTTAAAATACTTGTATAATTGAGGCCTTGCTAATGAATCTATTGGCAAGCTGTTTTGCAAAGAATTGAGTGAGTGCATGAGAGCATTGTTAGATGATCTGATACAGCCCTTGAAAATCAGCAATTAGCACAGTTTTAATTGTTATTCATAATATTCAAATTGTAAGAAATGAAAACCTAGTTTCAACTGCTGCTTTTATAGATATAAAAAATGCTTTTGATTATGCTTCAAAGCTTAAAATGATTCAAATTCTCAAGAATTTGAGATTGCCAAAATCTTTAATAGAATGAGTAAATGATTTTATATTGTGATCTAGAGTTGTTCACCACATGCAATATGTACACATAGCAGCTAGACTCTTAATATCAGCCAACTACTTGTTACATTGCCAACAAAAGTCGTGATCGCAGAAGCTGCAAATTAGGCAGGCAACTTTTGTGTTGTGCAGCATTGTAAACATGTTGCTCTCTTCTTCGCACGAGCAGGTTGGGGGCTCAAATCGAGAAAAAAAGAAAAGAAAAAAGGAGAAAAAAATAATTGAGAGTTTCGGGAAATTTGCATACCGCTAGTTCTATCCCGACGTGCATGCATGTAAATTCCCCGTGCATGTGCATGGATAACGGAAAAGGGCAGATCTCCAGGACCATGCTATCCTACTCAAAGCCGGCTTTGAGCACTTAAAAGAGAAGTGCCAGGAGGGTGTAAATATCCGAAAATAGTCGCTTGACAGGAGTATTATCCCGCAATTCACTTCCGCCAAATTGACCGGCTTTTCTAGAATAAATCCCGACAGTAGCGGCAACTCCATCCATATCGACCACTATAAACTAACCCGATTCATCCGGCCCCCATGGGTGTTCTTCTTAGGTTTCTATCCAAAAAGGGAACCCGAAGAGGTACCGCAAGGCAAGAAAAGAAAAAGAAAATATAGTGGAGATTTTATCGTAGTTCCCGCAATGGAGCAACAGTGCCGTGTGGGGATTGTGCCGTACGCAAAGTGGAGTTGGTACTGTGTAGGCCGAAGGGGCTGACATCACTCTTCGGTTCTCAAGCTAAGGTATATACCCCAGATCATGCCGAATAGATTCCCCGTCAGCACTCTCTTTTCTGGTGGAACCATTGTGAAGCTGATCACTGAAACCATTGGCCAAAGCTTCAGGCCAGCTATGATAATGGGAACGAAATCCTAGTTCGATATGGTTATTATTAGCGTTTGCGGGGAAAGATACATGTGGATACAAGCTCCACACAACAAGCGGGGCCAAATTATGTTTCAATCGAAGGTTTATCGCGCAAATCCGCGCAAATTTGCGCATAGAAAGAAACAACTTATAGTTCCTTTCCTACGTGTAATTGATCTCTAATGGGTAGGTTGAAGAAATGAAGAAAGGACCGCAAATGTAACCTACCCTAAACAATGATTGCTGAATCGCGTTGGCATCCTGGCCATTCAAAGCAGAGATAGTTACAATAAACAGCGCTGTACTCCATCCGGCACCGACAGTCTGATCTATCAGAATCTTAGAAATAGTATTCCAGGTATTCTTTTCTTGGATGGGCTCCTGTGTTTCTTTTCGTTCTGGTTGATTCGTTTGGACCCCACCGTGTGGCACCTCTTTGGCAGTCGTGTTGGAGTTGGAGGTTCTTTCACTGTTGCCCTCCATTGCCGCCGGAATCCTCCTGGCATTATCCTGAGGTGACGCGGGAAATGTGGCTTCGAGATAATCCTGCCAGAGGACCATAAACGGCGTAGTGATAAGTGTACATATGATGAAGCGAATCAATTCAATGTAGTCGAGAGCAAAGGTAGCCTTTACGTCCAACACCGAATTCACCAGCGGCATTTAAAAATGCCGCACAAGAATTTAGTTAGCATTATTTTTTGGTTACTTGCGCGACTTTCATGTTCGTGCTAATAGAGGACAGCAGCAGTTTGGACCTAACATGTTCGCCACGAAAGAATGAAATTCCGTCAATAACGAAATGAGCAAAACAAACTCGCCATAAAACCAATACTCTGCGGGATATAACGAAACCAAACCCGCCAAGTTTAGGAAATAGACAAGAGGGATATCCCTCGCCGTTAAGCCAGTGTCAAAATGGTAACGTTCGGATGTCTAAAAATGAAGATAGTAGAGAGAATTCAAAAATAACTTACCCCATGTCGATACGCCGTTATCGCTTGAGCTATTACGTTTGAACTGCCATTGAGAACGGCAGCCTGAACGGTGGTCTTGAAAATCGCCGGGAGTGACATAATAGTCGAAAGTGCGCAAATAACTGTGTGAGAAATGGTGAAATACTAGGTGGCTAATTAGTATGAGCTTTCATGCATGATTTGTTAAATAAAATTGGCAACTAGGCTTCCTAAAATGAAGAGGCTATTCGGAGGAAACGAATGAGTGATCGTACGAAGCGATTTGACTATTCAGTTGAATCTGGAAGATCACTTTAATTCGCGGAAGGAACAATAAATTCTCTCTTCGTTTGTGTGCATGAAATGTAAGGAAAACCAGACTTACAAGGAACTCTTCCTCCTTCACTTGTATAGGGTTTTGTTGCTCCTGGAGAACTTGTGAAGGGTCTGAGCCCCCGACGAACAAATAGGTGACTCGGTAGCAAAGGAAACACAATCCTTTCCGTGTCCTTGCTGAATCACTCACTTAGGAGTTCATAGCTAGCCCTGGAGCGAAGTGCAAGTCAACGAAACGTTTCCTTTGACTAGCTGTTTGAGGCAGCTTTTGATACAAGTCGACTTATGGGAATGTCAAACTCAAATTTGCATGTCGCAGGTTTCGTATGGAAGGAATGGTATAAACAGCCTGACATGGGGCCAAATGCCGGTACCGTGTTCCACCCCGACTTGGGTATTAGAGAGGGACGTTGAGACTTAAACTGTCCGTCTCGTCGATATGCGATGTTGATGAGGTGTCCGGAACATACGAAAGAAGCGCTAAGGGACAAATCACGGGATCATGCTTGCCCTAACTGGCTAACTACCCCTATCTCAAAACTGGACCACGCAAATTTCTTCTTTATACCAGCTTCTGACTTACTATGTGCAGCTCATTACAATCTAATGCTAACTAAATATCAAGAGTGTTCCCGAACTTGGTATAATTGGTTTGTTCAATATGAACTGGAAGCGCGTATTTGGGCTGTCTCGAATACAGAGATGCGACTACGCAGTTGCAGTTGAGAGACTCTAGGCTAAATCTTCTACTGGGCAACCGTGCTGAGAAGAAAATCATACGCCATACCCGGATACAGTTCAATACGCCTCCACGGATGTTGTTACCAGGCAAGAGAATCTTTAACCATCATTTGACACGCAGGACTTGAGCTAATGGAACCCTCCAGGTTTTCGAGCTCTTTGCATACTACTTGAGTATTAGAAAAAAGAAGTCTTTTATGAAAAAGCTATACTCGTCTCCATAGCTGGGGACTGAAAACAGATTATTAAATGGAAGCTTACATTCATTCGCGAGCTTGTATCTGTCGCTTGTGCTTGACCCTCTGACTGTTGGCAAGATCTCTTCTCCTGCAACACGTTCAAGCTTGAGGTGAGATTTTAATTTCAAAAGGATCATCTCTTGTACTGTGCGATCATGAGTGCAGTCTGCAAAATAAAAGCGGGGGGCATATTAGCATGCTGGCCCAAATCGTCCATTGATTAATCCTAGGTCTGTAGAATTCTCACCGACTGCGTCCTCATTCAGAGTGGAATCATCGTCAGGGTTCGTTCTACAGGTAAGAGATATTATCGTTAGTGAGCCTCCAAATAAATATGAATATAATCCCATCAGATATGCGCAATGTCATACCTTCCAGGGGAGCTGAATGACTTATATGTCGCTTCGAATTTCGCTATTCTAGCTTCAAGGCTGGATTTTATGCCATCTGGTATTCCTTGGCTTCCATCTGCCTGCTTTCCTACAACACTTCCGTACATATCGCAGCGGATATATGAGCGATTTGCCTCTATAGGGGCTACGGAGATGGAATACCAGACACTTTCTTTTCCAGTAGCATAGATTGAAGTGGTAGGGAAAGCTTCCAAGGTGGAGGACTTGGGGTCACTGGCTCTGTCCACATCGAAGATTGATTGAAGAACTGAACGTAGGTTACTCAACTCCGGCTTCGTTCCTCCCGCTACACCCTTATCTTCGTACAAGTTCCGAACTGACTTAAAGATTAGTTAACATATTCGTTTTATGAATCATTTCTACTTCACAATCCCCTACACGCTTCGTTTAGTATAAGACTTACCGGCCATTTTCCAATTAAATCTGCCTTCAAGCTCCCACCCATCAATCCATACTGACCGCCTCGGTATCCGATTCACACTCGCAAACCTATCAATTCTACGAGCATCGAATTGAAGTTCAGGCGGATCTCCCCTTGCATCTAAATTCACAAAAATCAATCCATGTTTCGAAATCGCTGTGCGAATCTCGAATAGGCTATTCTGAGTCTTGTCGAATCCCTCAAGACACTCGAATTGCGGTGCTTTTATGAGTTGACCCTTGCTATCATAGGTCCAGCCATGATACCTGCACCCCATCACGGTCGAGGAACCGGACTTTTTCTTTGAGATGACTGGGTAGGCTCTGTGTCGGCAGACATTGTGAAATGCGCGGATAACGCTGTCCTTCCCTTGGATGAGGAAAAGAGGGAATCCGCAAATTTCGAAAGCATGGTAGTCTCCCGGTTTGGTGAAGCGACTTGCGTGGGCGATATAGAGCCATGTCTGTCAAGCTGACTTGTTATTACTGCGACTTTTCATTTCGAATCATGTGGCACGACGCCTTAAGCATCATATAATACCATGCTTGCCCTCGGTTTTCAAATATCCAATCAGATATCCGTGTTTCGGAAGGTTCGAATTTTTAGAAAATCTATGCCCCTACCTTACTAAATATTGCGCGTCTCTCCAATCGAAACACTTCATCTCCAGTCCACCAATTATCAGGGAAGTCGGATTCCTTGCACACGTTTGCCGACGGTGGTTGATCGGCTGCTGTAGTAAGTCCGTCGCTCCCCTTTCTGGTAGCTATTGTTGAAGCAACCCTTCTCAGGAACAAATCTTCGATCCACGCTAACTTAGACTGTACATTCGAACTGAGAGTGTCAAGGGGAAGGGCGCCAGGACGTGGCAACAAGGGTCTCCTAAATACTTTTCCATCTTTCTGCGTCACCGCAAGTATAGCCAGGAGGATAATGGGGACGGAGGCGAGGACAAATGTATTGGAGAGAAATGAGGATAAATACTCCATCCTACTTAGCTCGTAGAGTGATGCTACGTGCTAAAAGACTACATGCAGAAGGAGTTTATTAAAAGAAGAGTATTGGCTTTATTTTACTTCTTCCTGGAACGGGAGCTCCAGAAATATATACAAGCGTTTTCAACGGCAATATGATATATCGCCTAAATAGGCTGTCGAACTGACTTATTTCCGTCTCCAAGTTAGCTCGTTTCTTGCTCCCATGCTCGATTCCAAAACAATTATGTTTAGTTAGGTAGAGCTACTTGTAAAATCGTGCATTTTTATTCCCGCTCATTTAGACCCTGAACCCGCCATTCCCCAATAGAGTTGTGTTTTCTTAGTTGTCACATCGTCATTGGTCGCCTGAATTATTTCCCAATCAGGTCAGTATTTCCTTCTGGACTATCACTGGTTGGAAAAGATTTAGGCTGAGCTTGGCTGGGCCTTACGGGCTCCATGGGCATCATCAAAGAATTTTCACCCCGCAAGCGGGTAGATTTTAAGTCGAACCGACCAGTCGGTGTGTGAGGGAGCTTACCAAGGTGGTTCTTTGTTGTAGTAGGGAAGATAGATCGTAGATGCCGCTTGGGTTCCAATAGGGCTTCAGGATGGGGAAGCGGGTTCTAGATCTTGATTTCGGTGCAGCTGGTATGTCTATCTGGGTTGATGACGTGGATTCGGAGTGGCAAAGAGCAACGATTTTGGACATCAATTACATTGAAAAGATCAGGTGGGAAACCTCAGGCTTTCATTAATAGTAACTATGAGGTGTACGAGAACTCATGATCATTAGTGCTAGTTACAGGGAACTGCAGCAGCTTGGGCGGGGTGGCTGATCCCATCCCCCACCGCCTTTTCCGGACCTTCGGTTGATTTCTCATGTCTATGCTGCTCAGTGACCAGATCAAACACACGGTTTTGGTAGTCTGAAAATCCGAACATTAGTTATTTTTCGTAGGGCGCCGAAGATATTACAGCAGGAAAAGCAGAACAGGACACAACTCACATGCAACCCCTGTCTCTTTGACCGGATTCAAAATGCCTTCGTTATACACGCCTTTCTGCAAATTTTCCTGCGCTCTTTCACACAGCTCGTAGTCTTCCATGGCCACTTGACGGACAAATTTGAAATACTTTTCGAACTTGTCGCCTAATTCGAGGTGATAGTAGTCGAATTCCATTCGAGTAACATTAGGGTCCCTAGTTGGACAAACGCGAAATGAGGACATTCCTCCGCCATACACATTCAGAGTGCAATTGGGAAAGAAGTAGAGGAAAAGTCCATCATCTGGCTTCTTTGGATCCGCAACATGCTGAGAAAAGTTCAGGTGGTTATAGACAGTATAGAATGTCGGAGGGTAATAGATGGAAAATGAAGGGTGTGTATATTGACAATGCAGGCATTCTTGATAGCCATCCACCCTGTAGTCATTTGGTGTCAGTTAATTATCCAGTCGGAGGTTTAAACTAGAGGATATCGCACATGGTTTTCCAGTTGAAATTCCCCTCATACTTGACGCTACGGCGATACGGGAGCCTGGTAAAGTCCACTCTTGCCAGAAGGGGCTCTAAATCGGGGTAGAACTCATGGAAATCCGGTGCATCTTGTGATATCCCGGCGAACAGCAATCCTGTCGGCGTAAGGTGGCTCGGTAATTCCGCACCCTTGGTAGTTATGAGAAACGTGAACACCTAGAATAGTAAAAGGAGTAATGCTCACAGTGCTCTCATGGATAACTTTCAGCTCCTCAGCAGTTGGAAGTGCGGAGGAGCCAAACTTTCTTTCAACGTATAGGCGTTCCTGAGCAATTTCATATTGGACTTTGGTATCAACTTCGTGGAAGCGGGTTACGGGACCCAGCAAGTACCATGCCTATAAATATGTATTAGCCTTAAATACGACTCACTCAAAATAGAAGAAGGGGCTGGAAATGGGCCAACCTTTAAAAACACGGCACGGCGCTCAAGTTGGTAGAGCGGAAGGCTTCGGTACCACGAAGCAGGAAGAGTCCTTTGAAATTCCGCCATTTTCGAGGCAATTGTCCAAAGACCCAAAGAAAAAAGTAAAATGCGAACACATAAATATTATCTGAGAGGGTTCATTATACCATGCCCTACATATATAAAGACTAACAAAAATTAGCCATTTTCGAATTGCCAAGGTGTGTTCCGAATATGGTTGTCAAATACGGCGGCTGGGTAACTAAAACATCGTTGATTCAATGCCACGTGTAAAAGAGAAAGACTATGTGCCGGTGTCAAATTGCATTTCAAAGCATGGCTGTGGATGCCCGTAACTAATGTAAGTCAGTTAAAGTCCAAACTCCTACAGCATTTCAACCTCCTGATTCTGGAGATCCTGAAAGCCAAACCCTTCCCTTTTGCTTGTACCAAAGTTGAAGAGGCGGATCTCAATCCCATGAGAGTAACAGAGATTAGTGGCAGCATAAATTATAATTAAACAGTATCCCGATGCTCCAAAAGCCATTGAAATCACTCCATTTCCAGACCTTTGTATACTCTAGATCTATCAAGTATCGCAAAAGTGGGTTAGGAGCCACTGTATAACGAGGGATGTGGTCTGCAGGACCTCAGAGCCCCTGGGCATTATAGTCAAGATGGAATTGTTAATCACACTTCA